TCATATTCTCTCGTTTTGAGACAAATAACGAGTCAAGATGCCATATCTCCATAGCGTGAAATATTTTATTGCTCGGACACGATACGCTCGGACTCGTTACCTTTAATAAGGTCGACTCGCAAGGCATAAAATCGCGGAGAATATAATAACGTAGAGTCAGGCAGAGAAAAAAATGAGCTGTCTCGGACAATGCGAGCGTTGTGGGTGGATGTTGCGCGACGTATTTGAGAGATCCGCCGCTATATGAATGTATCTCACCGATATACACGAGAGATAAGACGCGAGATTTAATCCTTGTCAAGGATTATCTCCAGCGCCAGTTTTAACGCCGACCAACAAACCGTACATTCTCGCGCTTTTAATTGGCTCTCCGCGACTAAACTATGAACTTCGTGCGCAGAATTGCGCCAACTTGTTCTCTGTTCGCTAATTAAAATTTTGAAATTTTTTTGTACAAACCCCTACCTTTTTGCTGCCACGATGAACTCGAAACTGCGATGGAAATCGTCTCTCTCAGGATACGTGAACAGAAGGACGGAGATCATTTTTCCCAGATAAACGCACAAAACTCTGAAATAAAAAGTACAAAATATCTATTAACAAAGAACCTTATGATAAGATACAAACGCAAATGAGATTTGTATCTACTGAGATGAAATAAAAGTTAAAATTGTGATTTTTCGATTATATTTATAACTGAAAGACGAGAACTGCTGTCTTGGTTTTAAAATATGTATAATACATGTGCGGATTTGTGTATAAGTGTAATATTATACATAGTTATATTAATGATATATTCTTGCTCGAGAAATGACCGTCGCACTGAGAAATGGATGGTCGAATGTGATCACGATGAGATCAAATTCATTATTAAATTTGATTTCGCATCGATGCAATCATCGTAAATAATCTCGCCCACGTTCGGTGACGCGGTGGCTTATAAATTTCGTATGGCTATTACACGAGTCACTTAAAACGCGATGATATAAATTAAACGATCGCTTGGGCATAACGATTGATCGCGAGTCCGTTCTCTTACGTCGCTGTTTCTTTTTTTTCTTACAGCTGTCACTTAAACAGCTGTCCCCGCTACTTGAACGATCGTCTCGACGATACTTTCGCGAATATCGAATCCCGAAGTGAAACTTCAGGAATCGGTAAATAACAGACGCGAATAACGAACACACAGTCCTCTTTTTGCGAAAGAGAAGCGATTGCGATTCAGTCACTTCGAACGAAGATAAATTTCAACGGGAATTACCATTGCACGCGGGATAATCCATTTTCGTTCTACTCGCTGCTCCGCAATATTTTCAGACGTTAATAAGCGCCCGTACAACACGTGACATACAAGACGCACGCATAAAAAAAAATACGCACATACACAAATAGCTGTATGTATATAATGTACGGTGCAAATAGATTGAGGCCTACTCTCTCGTCGGTTCGGCATGAACAACGACTCTTCGGTATCACCGTGACCTAATATGGAAGCGGTGCTCATTTGGCGCGTTCACGTTTTACAGCTGAAATGAATTTATGTGGAAAGGCCACCTCTCTTTCTCCTCTCCGCCCATCGTGAGTAAAAGAGAAAGAGAGAGAGGAACCGGCACAAATGCCGACGAAACGATAAATTTATCCCTTACCGGCTCTTCCGACGTTAAACGGATGGCCGCGCTGCCGTCCTTTGACATAAACGCTCGGCATAAATTCATCAACCTTTTGACCGATACGCCCGCTCTCGGGACAATCCGGCTTCTTTTTCGATTGCGAAAGCGCCGATCACGACTTTACGACCGAGAAAAAATGCTTCCGTGAACAGAAATGCCGGAATTTCTCTCTCCAAAAACTCCATCTCTGTATACTCAATTATCTTTTGTCGATAGAATAAAATATAAATGAAAAAATCTAGAAGAAATATAGGACATTTTAATTTCGATTTTTAGAGACAAAATTCTTAGAAAAATTTTACATTGATATTTGAAAATGAAGAAATTCGATGGAAAAACCACAGAGTCGCGGTCTATCTATAATATATATGAAGTAGAAACAGACACTCGTTACAGACAACTTGTAACCCTTCATCTTCGCGTAAGGACTATGCTCACTGTCCTGTTATATATGTTCTTAGTCTGTACGAGAGAAACTATAGTGCAAAAAAACGCAGAAGCGCAGCATCACGACCGCAATCTCGCGAGGCGTAAACGCGTTCGTTTTCTCACCGTGAGTCCATTGCATGCGCGAATGCAATTGCACGACATATGAGCAAGAACATCATCGTCGTAAGCAAGCACACCCAGTCTGACAATAAGAAAACGTATGTGACTCTGCAACGACACATGTAGGATGCTGCCATGTATATTTTTTTCTAAACATCTCTTCGTGGCAGTGTCCACTCTTGTTTGTATAATGAGACCATTTAATTAAAGACGTCTAATCATAGTCATTCTTAGTATATTTGTATTTTTAATCTCTTTTATTATTTTTCTCAAACTGCTTCCCTATTTGACATTTAAATATAATGTGAAAGAACAGAAAATTTCATGTGTATATTGGTAACTTTATCTGTCAATAGTATTTTTATTTAATGGATATTGAAAATAAGGGAATATTTGTTATTAAAAATAGAGAAGTTGTATTAATTTAATCTATGTTAAAAATTCGACTGTACACAGAGAGAATTTTCTTTTAGAATTTATTATGAAAATCATAGTAATTGTGAGACAATATGGTGTCAAAAGAATTTTATAATTTCTCTGATTAATATTTACCGCACTATAAAAAAATAAAATACATCAATAAGATATAAAATATGTTCGATTAATTTTATTATGTACATATTATTTTTTATTGTGGTAAATATTTAATCAGAAAGCTCTTATAAAATTCTTCCAATATCACAATTATACTATGGTTTTCAGGGTGAATTCTATAAGAGAAAATTTTCTACGTATATATATTTTAATTTATATATATTCCGTTTAATTACAAATAAAAATTGATCAATATTTTTTTGCAGAATTAATTATCTTGCCACACATATACATTTATAGATAAAATACATGAAAGAAAAATTGATGTTTGAATCAATTGTGTCTCTCACTCAAGTCCCATGAAAAAGTAACTCTGGGTCAAAAGATAGTCTGATGCAAAATAGCTATATTTCATTTTCAAATATCTCAACCCCTATTCATTTCTCTCTTTCCCTTCCAAAATCACCGCAATGATTCCTAAACGAGGACAGCTCTATCTTAATGACGTACGTCGCGGTCGCAGTAATCAAAAGTACGCGTCGCAAAAAAATTAAAAAAAAGAAAAAATAAAAAAATAAAGCCAAATGCATCGCGGATGCACAAGCTCTCTCGCGAGGCTTATTTACTCTCATAACACGACGAACGCAGGCAGGCGCGTGTCGGTGGCTGTGAGTTATGGCCGCGCGCATAACAAACATCGACTCGAGTTATCGTGTAGGATGATTTCGCCGTAATTACAGTCAGCCGGATCTCTTTTCTCATTTCTCGGCACGACGATCGAGCACGACTGCTCGATAAGGAATGCACTTGTTCCATTACACGAGCAGGATACACGTGCGCAATAATGTAAAATTTAATTTATTCATTATTATAGTTCGGCCAATATCGTTCTCTCATATACTCTCTCTTCTCTGGCATAATTATACGAGAAAATTTCCTCTGCGCGCAAACTGATTTGCATGATAAATTCGGTGTTAAACCGAATCTCTGCGTGAGATTATCGCGCTGACGGACGCGCGAATTAATGAAGCCGGCGAATTTGACGACGATAGAGCGAAACGCGGAATCTGACAGAACCTGAGAACGGCGCGTAGGTGTCGACGACGACGATGATGATGGAGTGAAAAATGGATATCGCGAGAAAACGGACATACGGTAATTCATTCGACGATGGCATAAACGAGGCGAGAGCGTGGCTCGCGCGGGTAATTAATTGCGCTCGCGCGCGTTCACCGTCGCGATAGCTACAACAACTTAGCGAGTAATAAATTCGCGTGACGGAAAAGTATGCTTGACGAGGGAACGCGCCGTCGTGTCGTTTGGACTCCGTGCTTTCTAACACCGAGTCTCGGGTCTCCGGTCGACGTGCAAATTTGAAACGCGAACCACGATTCGGCTATAAACATATTAAATTATTAACTTACCCGGAACGAAAGTGCGTGTTTTTTTCTTTTGCGTTTCGTGGATGACGCTGACCGCAGCATATTCATACGTAACCGCAGAATTCTTTCCTTATGTATAATACATAATAAATATAAGTATTTTAAAAGAATCGAGATTGCGCAGGCTGATCATTGCTAATTAATACGGAATAATTATATGAAATGATCGTATTTCGTATACTACGCATGATAATGCATAAAGTCTTTATCTTATTCTCGTTCAAGTGCATAAAGTGAATTAAACCGAATAAAAAATTCGTTTTGCAATCTCCGCAATTAAGTAGAAATTAATTCAAAAAGATTGACGAACTTTTAATAATTTTTCATTAATTATTGCGAAAATCGCAAAATACACAGAGAGAATTTTTCTCTCAGAATTTATCCTGAAAATCATGATAAGTAATCGTAGGACAATGGAAGAATTTTATAAGAATTTCTCTGATTAATATTTACCACAATAAAAAACAATGATATCTACCACAATAAGATATAAAATATATTAATATTTTTTATTGTAAATATTGATTTTTAATAAATATTAATTCTTCCAATATCATATTGTCCCACAATTACCATGATTTTCAGGGTAAATTCTAAGAGAAAATTCCCTCTATGTAAAGAACATTTCTATTCAGTTTAATCAGCTAATACACAAATTTAATTGCAAAATAGAAGAATAGAAAATAGAAAAATTCGTAAGAAAATACAATGTATACATCGGCTTTTTTTTCTTGGAATCAAATGTGAGACATATATGACAGGATTATGGAACATTTTTCAAAAATATGAAATTGTATATTTGCAGGTAGCAGGGAGGCGGCTTTCACATACGCGATAAGCTCGGCTGGTGTGACGTATGCGGTTACTGCAGCTTGCAGCCGCGGCAACATCACCGCCTGCGGTTGCGAACCTGCTGTAAGGTATTTGCAAATTTCAAAATGATGTATGTGTATGTGCAATATACACATAAGGCGCAATATTAATTTAAGTTATTATAGAGTTAATATATCGCGGCCTTTCTCTTTGTAGGACGAGAAAGGAAGTACCGCCGAACGGCTGGGAATGGGGTGGCTGCAGTGCCGACGTCACATACGGAATGAGGTATGCCACGTTAATTAAGCAAAGACAGTTAATTATATTCGTACTAACTCCGTTATCTTGTGCTCGCGACGACAAACACGAAACATCACGAACACTCGGCGAAAAACGCTAAACGCTCTCTCTAGAGATACGCGTGAATTTTAATATTATAATTTAATGCTAGGTTCGCGCGTAGGTTTCTGGACGCGAGGGAGATTGAAGGAGATGCTCGGAGCTTGATGAATCTTCACAACAACAAGGCCGGAAGAAAGGTAAGCGAAATATTTAAATTAAAGATAACATCTCCTCTAAAATGTTTTTATCTCAGCGTAGATATTTATGTATAAGACCGTCGACTTTTCTTCGCGAAAAGAGAGCTCTCGCGAGACATCAAAAGCGTCAAAAGCCAGTCAGTCAGACAGGATAGCGCCGTCAGCGTAAAAGCAACAACTACGTAATGAACGTCATAATTGCCGTGAAGCGATACTAATTACTGTAACTCGCGAGAGGAATCGTTTAGCGCGGAAATTAAGCTCGCTGACGTTTCATGACTACACTGCGTACTTCGTCGCTACTCAATCATCGCGTCGTATATGTATAATTATATTACGCGTGATTTTAAGATTATATAGTAAAGATTATTACGGGAAAAGCTATGTACAATGCAATCGAGAGAAGCGGATGCATCTCCATTCCCGTTATTTGTTACTTAATTTACTCCGAATACATTCGCGTTTACAAATTTATTTGCATACACAGAGAGAATTTTCTCTTAGAATTTATCCTGAAAATCATAGTAATCGTGAGGCAATATGGTATTGGAAATTGGAAGAAATTTTTATACTTAATTTTAAATTTACTTTAATAAATATTTATTTCAATACTGTCTAATAAATCACTTATTTGAAACAAATAAATGTTTATTTATTTTAAAAAGAATTTTCTTATATCAAATAAATATTTTTCACATCAAATCAATATTATTAGTTTCAAATAAAAATGATTTATTTGGCAGTATTGAAATAAATGCGTTTATCAGTGTACCACAATAAGATATAAAATGTTCGATTAATTTTATTATGACCATAGCAAAATTTATTGTGTATATATACATATTATTATTTTTTATTGTGATAAATTTTAATCAGAAAAACTCTTATAAAATTCTTCCAATATTATTTTGTCCTACGATATTACCATGATTTTCAGGGTGAATTCTAAGAGAAAATTCTCTCCGTGTATATACAATATGTATAGATATATAAATATATATATATATATATGTATGTATTTAGATTAGCATCAATAATATCTCGTGATAGAATCGAGTCGAGATCGGATAACAAGGCGGTAATATCGATAATGAGACGCGCGCATCTCTCGTATGCATCAAAGCGTATGCAAACTAGGCGCTATCAAATTTGATTTATCGCGCAATAACCCACTGAGGAGCCAATCATCCTCGGAGAAGACAATGTCGTCGTTTCGCGATTCGTATATCCGGACGCGCCTGTTCACTTTACATTATCTAGACATTTCAATCTCGTGAAAATAATCAGTGTATCACAGCTTGATTAAAATATACCTAATCTCGCTATTCCACCCTGCCCATTAAAAGTCCGCGCAACCACTTAATAATTCTTTCTACAGAGTTTAATCAAAGTAATTAAGAGCACTGGACTGCATTTATCCTTTCGTTAATGTATCGAGTCGAGGATTATTATGAAAAAAATCCCACGGCTTTTTACCGCGATTACTCTTCTACTCGCGCGGGAAGATCGACGATCGAAAACGAAAACGTTTGTGAGAAACGATGTTCGAGGTCGAGGGTGGCGTGCCTTTAATTGGGGAAAGTTCGTCTTTCGAGCTTTCATCCTTTTCGATGCGAAGGGGAAGGGCGAGCCTTTATTATCGGGCGGGCAATAAAAACTCTTCGTTTGTCGATGTATTGTGTACATATATGTATGTAGTATACATATATATACGTATCCCGGGTCTCTCTCGCGGGGCTAACGATTTATTCTCAACGTCGATCGCATCCCGGCGCGCATACTTTATCGTCCCGACGATTTTTTCAACCTCTCCCGCATGCGTGGCGCACCACGGAGATAATTCGAAATATAAACCAGTTTCGTACGCATCGTATCGCATCGTATCGTATCGTATCGTATCCGCTCGCGTTCGCGGTCGATGCACAATGAGAGGTCCCTTTTCCTTCCCCCTTTCCGCCCTCTCCCCCTTCCCCCCATCGGGAATCGAACGAGCAACAGGAATTTACAGATGAGCACTCGATACGATTACAACCATTTAAAATCACGCGGTCGGTCGTTCAGAGTTAACCGAGATGTATCTCCCGCGCGCCAGTGGCGTGGCCATGCGAAAAAAAATCTGTACCGAATTAATTTCCCAAAAATATTGTTTAATCCCACCGTCATAGCTGCGCTTCTATTAGAAAGGATACATCAAATACGGCAATTTGATTTTTCATTTAAATATACGTATATCACGGAAAAAATGGTTAGCTACCATAAGAAATTTAGTTATCTAGATTTTAGCTAGGTAAATAACATTTTTAGCGGAAAATTCTATAGCTAAAAAATATTAATTATTGTAGCTAAAATTTAGCCACAGTAGCTAATTTTTTTCGTGTACCACAAATTTTTTTCGTGTATCACAAATACAAGTGCGAAACATATATACGCAAGTATCGAAATAAATAAATAAAGCAATTAAATAAATAAATTAATAATTAAAATCTAAAAAAGAAACTTTGATCAATATTTTTCCAAGATACACAGTTGTGCATAAATCTTTCACGTTTTTAAACGTGCCAATATAAGAGTATATTATAAAAAAAAAGATATAGATATATGAGCTAAAATTTCACGACTGAATTATTCGTATAATATTATGACATAGTCGGGGGATGATTTTCTCTCTTTCTCTCTACGCCATTGATTCCTTCATAATGAATCGATGCGTATCTCCTTGTCCTTTGAAAATGATTCAGGCATCAGACGACGCATCCGTTCTCATCGAATGCGCATTGTAAACGTTTTCGTTCTCATTTTCATTCTCCGACTCCGAAAGAACTCCTTGCTTCGGACACATGTATAGATTTTGAAATTTGCATAGGACATACGTGTACAATGTAAGAAATTAATCGGTGTACATCACTTTGCATTGATCGCGCACCAGCGCGAGTTGTCTGTTTCGAAATACATTAATTTTTCGATCAAATCTCTGTCGTAGGTATATATTCGTATACCTATGTCTTTGAAGTCAATTAAATGATATTATATGGATTTTCTAATTATTACGAAGATTCTAATAATTATGAGATCTGTCGCATATTGTATTCGAGCAAAAAAAAAAAGGAATCCAATTCTTCCCGGATTGGAAAAGCTGTTATTTATTTTATAACATAGTTGATAAGATAACGATTAAACAGAGTTTCTTACGTATCGGAAACAATGTGCAAAGAGAGAAAGAAAAAATCAAAATTATAACAATAAATAATATATATATATATATATTTATATCACTGCAAGCCAGTTGGGTCGTCTCACAGTTATTTTTAATTAAATATATATATATATATATATATATATATATATATATATATATATATAAGCATAGCATAATATATAAATAATATAAGCTGAATATTCTATTTTTTAATTATAGCGCATTTTATTCATAATTGGCCGAGCTTTTTCGATCAGTTTTTTAATGTTTTAATATTTAGATGACAACAAAATATAATAATTAATATCACGAGTGCACTTTCGTAACAAGCGCAAATTTAAATGTCAGTCGTCGAAGATAAATAAAAAGAATGAGTAATGAAGAAAACGATATTTCGAAATTACGCTATTACGCGTATTCTTTTTTCCAGATCGTTAAAACTTATCTGCAAAAGGAGTGCAAATGTCACGGTGTGTCTGGATCGTGCACCGTGAAAACGTGTTGGCGAACGTTACCCAGTTTTCGCAAAATCGGCGACGAGCTCATGAAAAAGTATTACAGGGCAAAACCTGTCATAGCTGTTACAGCATCACCTCCGTCCACGGTTCAGGTAATTAGCATTAAATAAATCAAAGAACCGATTCAAAGCGCGATTAATTAATATTAATTAATATTTATTAATTATATAATTAATAAATATTATTATAATTTTAATATTTACACTGAAAAAAATTTGTTGACTTCATTAAATCGTTCAACCAAATATTATTTTGTTAACTGAACATACAGAAATATTTAAAAATTAAATATAATATATTGAATCTAACACAACATATATTTGACTTAAATACTCATATATGTTCAATTAACAAAATAGTAATTTAATTACAGTATAGTCAGTTAATAATTTTTTTTTTTTCAGTGTATTAAATAATTATAATTTATTAAATATATAATTATTTATTATAAATATACACGGAGAGAATTTTCTCTTAGAATTTACTTTGAAAATTATCGTAATCGTGAGATGACATGGTATTGGAAGAATTTTATGAGTCTCTCTGATTAAATATTTACCACAATAAAAAATATTAATATGTACACGTAGTAAAATTAATCGAACATATTTTATATCTTATTGTGGTAAATATTAATATTTTTATTGTGGTAAATATTAATCAGAGAAACTCGTATAAAATTCTTCCAATATTATTTTGTGCCACGATGACCATGATTTTTAGGGTAAATTCTAAGAGAAAATTATCTCTATGTATAATTAATATATCAAATACATTATTATTATAAAATATATAATTTAATAATATTTATTAAATATATTTAATAAATATTATGTTATATATAATTAATTTATATTAATATTAAGAATTTATATTATAATAATTATAATATAAAATATAAATTAATAATATATATCATACTTATTATAATATATATAAAATTAATTAATATTAAGTAATATTAACATATATCAATTAATATTTTTTAATCGGTTACATCTTTTTATTTATTTTTTTACCGTCCTTTTTTTATTGAAATATAATAAAAAATAATTCTTTCGTACGTCGTAGACGTTGGACGCGATGTCGCATTCCGTGTCGCCGGAATTGGTACCTATATTGGGCAACGACGCCAAAACTCAAGGTAAACCGAATGACTTCACCAAGTCGCGGCACGATCGGCAGTCCACGTTTAAGACCGGCAAAGCGCGGAAACCGCACTTGGTTTTGAAAAGACGAAAGTCGGCGGTGGTCCGGGTATGGGGCTGAAGAGGATCCCGAAGAGAAACGAGCTCGTCTTTTTGCAACCTTCCCCCAATTATTGCGAGCCGAATTTAACGCAGGGTAGTCTCGGCACACAGGGCCGATATTGCAATCGTACTAGCAAAGGTGAGAAGGAATGGTAATAAAAGTTTAACAGTCATTCGCGATATTTGTCACATTTCTTCAACTTTCTTATTCAAAAAAGAAAGACAGAAACGGCGCGAATTTTTGCTCATTCAGTCTCCATTTTGAAAATTCGAGCAAAACGGATTCTCCGACAAGAGAGTCGCATTTGTTGCTTCTTTTCATGTTCGCGCGTTTTCATTTCGCAAGAATATTATCGCGCGAGAGAATATTGCACGTACCTTTCTTTAACTTGTTTCGTCTAGGAACCGATGGATGTGATTTGATGTGCTGCGGTCGTGGCTACAACACCCACCAATTCACGAGAACGTGGCAGTGCAAATGCAAGTTTCACTGGTGCTGCCGCGTACACTGCGATACTTGTACTGAACGGACCGAGGAGTACACTTGCAAATAACGCTCTTACCGACGCACGATGTGTACATACCTGCGAACATTTTTACCGACGATAAAGTCTAGCCTCGAAAGCGCGGGAAAAACGACACGCAAGAAAAATGTCGATCTCACACATATGTAATATTATATGTCATTATATAAAAGCGAAGTCTGCGCTAAAAAATACATATATTAATAATTGCATATGAATTTTTTATCGTTCAATTCGATTGATTCTGTAAAATTCTTAGCAGAATTCCGGGCCCATATTAAATATTAAATAATTACAGAATTTTACAAAAATAAATTTAAACATAATCCTATCATTGAATTTATATCCTAGAAATTTATATTCGATAGTTTCTTCTTGTACGTCGTTTATACACTAAAAAAAATTATTGAATTCAAATATTTATTTTAATACTGCCTTATAAATCATTTATTTGAAACTAATAATATTGATTTGATGTAAAAAATTATTTATTTGATATAAAAAAAAACTTTTTCAAAAAACAGAAAAATATTTATTTGTTTCAAATAAATGATTTTATAAGAATTAAAATAAAAATATTTATTAATTTAATAATTTTTTTTTCAGTATATATTTATATTTCGGGCCTCGATGCTTCGATATATATTGACATGACACATACCTAGTAAATAATAAGTATATTTAAACACTATATTCGTTGTACATCGATGTGCGAATATGATTCAATCAAGGATACATAGTTTATATAAGTAGTTTACGAATACGTTCTTTTAAAATTGTAGCGTAAAAGTATAATAGATATAACTGTTCTCTCTAAATAAATATTAAAAGGCGAATCTCCCTTTCACAGTATCTTTTAAGCTCTCGAAATATATACTTTATATAATAGGAATATATTTCTAAATTATTATTTATTAAAATCACATACGCACACGATATGATAAATTATATTCGTGTATGTAATGTGTTCATCTATTTGCTGGTAAATAAAGTATAGCGTTTTCGAGTCTATATCATGTGACATTATTTTTTTTTATCTGTTTACCTAATATTTTTTGCACGAGACGAACTGTTTGTTGTTTGTTAAAGATATACTGGGTTTTTCTCATTAGAGAAAATGTATAAAGGAAAAGTTATATGTATCGGTAGTTACTGGAAGTTACTGGAAATCACGTTTTTAAACAAAGGAAATATATATTTTTATCGTTTCTTATCTGTTTGCTGAGCGCGGAATATCACGCAAAAATTGTAAGTAATTTTCATAATTTATAAAGTCGATCCGATATTTCAAAATATGAAACGCAAATATCTTTTTTTCCTATGTATCTGAAATAATTTTATTAATCTAAAACACGATATAATTATGAATATATACTATATATAATTTTATAATTACTAATTTATATAATTTTATAACTATTCTCGATATACTTTTATGTTTCCGAAATGTATTAATTTACAGCTGTAAATTGTTAAAAGTTTTACACACATACAATTTGAACAGACATATAATTGACATATACGTATAATTTGATGATCAAAGCATCTTTTCAAATAATGTATGATCCAAATAATGCTTAATCCGACAGTAGATTAACTGCGTTATATATTTATTAGATGTTCATTATTTCAATTACTTTCAAGAAAAATATGGCTACTCCAGATCGCATACTTCGCGCACGCACATAGCCTTGAATTCGATGCAATCCGAGCACAATATATATATATCGTATTAAAAAAATACGTACCTGTCTCGTGGCGGCTTCAATGATAATCGTTTAACACATTGCTGTCCAAATTCCGGCGATAAATTCATCTGCTGTCCAGATTCCGATAAATTAATATACGTGCGGCCGCCCAGTGTCCAGTCGATGCTGAAATGGCACAAAAACTCGAGTTAATGAGCCAACTTCGCGCCAAATGTAAAATTCACGCGCGATGCAAACCGCGGTTTAGAAGGCGCTACAAATGCTTCGAAGCATTGCATCAACCAATCAGGATGCAGGAAATCTTTAACTTTTCGCTTCACTTCCAATTATTCAAATTCTTCGAAGCGTCTTCTCGACCATAGCCACAATTGACAAAAAAAACGCGGGAAATTATGAAATATAAAAAAAATTCGACTTACAAAATAACTCGATTTTTTAGATCTTCCATATAAAATAATCCGTTTTGTGTCCAACGCCGTACTTCTTCGAACAAATACAAATAATTTATAGACTAAGATTATTTCTTCTCCTCTCCAGGAATAATTAATGATTATTCCACATGATTTTTAGTCTCGAAAAAATTCAATCTCTCACATCTACACATACATAACAAAATAAAAATACAACAAACAAATTAATAAAAGATTAAAGAGATAAAATCAAATGTTTCAATATTGCGTAGTTGTCAAATTACAAATAATTGATTATTATATAGAATAAAGCACATAAATAAATATTGTTGATATGATGTAATAGTATGATAGATCATGGATTTATTGTTGATATTGATATATTTAATTATATTTAATTTTTTATATTTATGAATAAATTTCTTCACTAATTATTGCGGTGTAATATGTATATTACCATTTATTCTATATAAAAACTACTATCTTTTGTATCAATATATAAAATATTAAATAATTAATTGTATATTGTAAATATTAATTGTATCAATATTTTATATAAAAAAGCAAGATATATAAAAAATAGATAAATAAATAAAATATATTAAAAATTGGAAATACATATTGTAATTATACGTATATCGATTACATATATGTATAATTACACCATAACTGCATAATATGAACAATATTTTATGAAAATATATATGCATAACATATATATAATATTCAATATTATAAATATGTATAATTACGTTAGAACTGCATAATATCAACAATATTTTATAAAAATATATATGCATAACATATATATAATATTCAATATTATAAATATATCATTATATAACAATATATAGCTTTTTTCATTTAAAAATAGTATAAAAGTATAAAAATATTCACATTTATCTGTATCCTCTATGTTTTTAAATACTGTTCAATATTTTCTGCGCTTCCTGTTTCGCTTTTTGATCGTCATCATTTTCCGCAGAAAATTCAGCTGCCTTCTTCAAATATTTGATTGCATCTTCCTTACGATTCAATTTCAGATATGTTTTTCCTAACATTAGTAAATTATGACTGTAAAAGTTTGGATCAACTTTTTCGGCTTTCTCATGATACATCAATGCTTCTTCAAAGGATGAAGTTGGTGGCTCTTCAAATATAATAGACGCTATCTTTCGTTGATACCATGCTAAATTTGAAATCTCATAACACCAACATCCAAGCATATAAAGGATTGTTGCGTCAGTAGATTTTAATTCTGATGCTCTCTATAATAAAAATAACATAATGCCAATTGATTTTCAGATTACATTTTCTATCTCCTTTTATAAAATTTGACATTTTAATTTTGAATTTTAATATTTTACTTATAAATCAATATCTGTTTAAATTATTTGCCAAATAACATACCAGCAAATGTTTTTTAATGTTGTACAATTCTTTAATATGTGCTTTTGTGCCTTCTAAGGTGCCCTTACTGTTAAGGAATATAGACATCCATTTATGAACAGCATAATGATCTTCTTGAATATCAAGAGCTATACATATCAAATCATATCCTTCGTAAATCAACTTTCGAGATTCCACGTCACTGGCCATTTCAGACATCTTATAAATGGCTCTACACAAACGCCACAAGATGTCAACATCCTTACTATCCTATATAAAACAAATAGTTGTATAATTGCGATTATATGTTATTAAAGTTATGTAATAATTAAAAGTTAGAGAAATTATTAAAAGATAGAGAATTACCTTATAATTTGACAAAAGATTATATATGCTTTTATAGTCTCCTTGATCAAAAAGTGCATCCACTTTGGCAAGAAGAACTTCTTTCGATGTAATTTGTGTTTCAGATTCATCTTTACTTTTTATGAATCCCCACATTCCCATTGTGATGAATGGCGATGTTACCCAAAACTTTCTGACAGCTTGCATACCATTTCCTCCCTGAAAAAATAATTTTAATGTTAAAACTAAATTATATATATTATATGTATATCTTATTAGATTTCTAGATTTTTATTCTGTTTCATACCTTATACACTGCATAAATATTTTTATGTAGAATTCTTTGTAAAATTCTATAGTTCATAACACGATAGAATCTCTGTAGAAACATCTTGTATTTTGATTCAATAACTTGTATTAATTAAATAACTTTTTTTTGTGAGGTATATAATTTAAATTATATCAGTGCAACAAAAATTTAACCTATAAACTGCACCGTTGCAATTATTTGAAAACAATTCAATATAACAATTGATACTTTAAAATAATAATAATAATGTTGATATAAAATAATAAACATTCATCTAGAGATCATATTATAAGTATTTAGCTGTCATTGACAGTAAGATAAACTTATCTGACATAAGATATGTAAACTTTCTGATCGATCCGTACTGAAAGAGATACTGAACTGAACTTTAAACTCAGAAGACAACATATATGATATTCCATATTCCAATATAAATAATCAGTATGACTCATTAGGAGGGAACGAAGAATAATGATAGCCAAGTTGAGTTTGTGCTGTCCTTGTCATATTGCATTGAATTTCTTTTTCACAGCTTATATCAATATATTCCACTATCTCTCCTTATCAATTGAAAGCTAATATTTTATGTTACAGAAAGAGATGGATAACTTTGACAGAACCACACAGATAAGTCTCTTTCCGGATGTCACGTGACCCAGAAGTCACGCTGGTTTATCGACTTCAAAATATCAATGGATTCTATAAAAAGAGAGAGAGAGAGAGATAGAAAGAGCCGGCAACAATTAATCTATAATAGTAAGGAACACAAGATAAAAATTATACCTATACAGCTGAAGTAATTACGAAAACAATTAATATAAAATCTCTACAATTATTAATAATTATATAAATATATATATATATATTAAATTATTAATTGCGCATAAATTTTAATATGTAATTTTTTTAAGCATGCAATATATTAAGATATATTTATGTACACTTGTGATGTGTACATAATATATTATACAATATATTAAGCACTGCTTAAAAATATTACGTTTTATATAAAATTGTTGATAAGATTTGATTAAATTTTTATAAGAAATGAAATCACTCATATTGAGAATAAAATCTCAGCTTAGCAGGGTTGAATTAGATCTTTATTTTGGAAGATACATAGGCATTCGTAGGATAGTTTAACGTAATCGTGACGGGGAAGGGTAGGGAGGTGATTAAACACAAATGTACAAACAAAATATTGATATTTTTTATAGGTGTGGAACGTGACTTGTCGGCGGCGCACTTTAAACACACCTTTCTTCTGAATCTAGTCAATAATTGTACACTGAACTCGACTTACAAAACGCTAAGAGCTCTGTACGTGCTCTTTTTCTTTCTCTCTCTCTCCTCTCTCTTCCTCTCTCTCTAATTCGCTTCCTCCGTTTTAAAAAATAATTATACGTTTCTTTTCTTAATACAAAAAAAATTAGATAATGCATTATATCGTAAATAAGGACATTGCACCGCAATCTCTTTCGTTGTAAGGCGCGATTACTTGCAAGAAATTTTGGAATCACACAGAAAAAAACAGAAGGGAGCGACAGCAATTCGATGTGTACAGTGTCATGATATATACATATCTCGATACATACATGTAAAAAAACATCATCCGCTCCGAATCTCATCTAGATCTTTATATATCATGATTCTGTTTAACTCTTTCTCGAACCGTTTACGAGATTTTTCATTGTCTCAAATTCGTATACCAGATACGAAGTACGAAATCGAAAAATTTGTTTTAAAGAAGGCATTGCTGTGTCCTATTTTTTTCTGGTATCTTAAAAAATTCTCTCTGAAAGCGACGCGCCACAAGACGAAGAAGATGGTCGTGCAGATCGCCTAATATATATATATATATATATATATATATTATATATACTTATAATCTTAACGTTATTTTTTAAATACGTTCCTGTAGTCTTTACATGAAATATTTGAGTTTTGTTTTCCTTTTTTTTTTATTTTTTTTATAATAAAATTTTTTTCTATTTTTCGTTAATCTGCTGTTGTTGCCCTGTGAAACCTGCCTTCTGTCATAATACAATAATACTTGCACGGTAGGTTCACGTTTCTGAATTTGGTTGATTTTTCTTTATATATCACAATGTGTATCTCTGCATCGTCTTTTTTTATTAACATTAATCTTCTCTTCATAATTACAGACACCAAATTCAAATGCAAAGTTTTTACTTTTTCAATGTCATATTTAAGAAATATCCTAAGCCGCAAGTCTCAGCAAATCCCAACATAAGATAAGATTCTTCAAATTTGTTATCATATAACTTTAGATGAGAAATTACACTATATGCAAAACTATATTGTGCAACTCTAATCTCATCTTCTCAAAGTTAATGCATGTGCAAGTAATAGATAAAAAAAAACCATGTAACATTTGTTATTGCATTACTGAAACTACATGTAATCAAATCGAAGTTATTGCATATTAATACTCATGCGGTGCTACTTTGAAATCTCACTTCATATTGCAAATGCATTCTCGACTTAAGCTTTTTCATAAATAGACAGTTGAATTGTAATCGCAGAACATTATTTTTATAGTGTGTTTCACTGTGTATTTACGCTAGCGTTTTCCTCTCTTGCCTATTGCGCGGAATGAGGCTTGCTGCGTGGTGTATATGCACCACGGTTGGTCCTGTTCTGCCCTCGGTATTGTCCGCGACCAACGCGGTCGTTACGCGCACCTCCCCTCGCTCCTCCGCCGCTGGTACGTTTGAAGCCAGTGCCATATCCGTTATTTCCATCGTTGTTGCCCCAAGAACGTTGTTGATATCCGTTCTGATAGTTATTATCGTTGCGATAGTATGTGCCTAGGAAAATAAAATATTAATGTCATTTTCATGGTTTATATATATATAAAGAGATTTATCTAAAAAAATTATTTTATTCATTTCATTATTATTCTTACTATTCTTTTACCTTGTCCTGCGCGTCCATTTTGTTGATAATTACTCCTGCTTCTACTATTATAGCCATTAGTAGTCCCCTTCTATTTCCTCTTCCTCTATATCCACGTTGTTGATCGCCCCAAGGTTGCTGCGATGTCTGTTGTTGTGATACTTGCTGGGGATCTTGAATAGATTGCTGTTGTTGATCAGACTGACTCCAATCATTGGTCTCAGTCATCTGACACCAATCGACAGATTCATTCTGTTGTTCCAACGATGAGTCCGTAGTAGTTTCATTTTGACTATTTTCAGTTTTTCCTGTAAAGAGTTTACGGATTGCTGAGAGTCAATAATAACATCAATTTCTTTATTTCGATTTTTTGCCAAAAGAAGAGTTTAATTTACCTCTGTAGATATTTGAGTTTCTTGTTGATGCGGTGATCTTTGTTCGTTGAAATTTTGCGTTTGCCCTTGTGGCAGTTGTTGCACCGCGTTTGTTGCTGCTGTGTTTGCGGAGGTTGAAAACCGGTCGGATGTTGCGGGCTGTATTGCATGTTTGGCTGTTGATGTGAAGGCGGCATCGGGATCGGTGGTGGTGGATTAGGATTTGCGAATCCAGGAATGTGCGACATATCCTGCGGTGGTTGGTGCTGGTATATGACTTGCTGAGGGACGCCTACGGGTGCGTTCGCGAAGTTTTGGTTCGTGAAGGTCTGTGTAGGAATGGGTGCGTTGACTGTGGGAGGAATGTGCGAGACGATGGGTGTTTGCGACGTGACATCCGGCGAATCGAGTTCAGATTCTTGTAAGAAGAAAAAGTTTGGTGTGCCTATAACATCATTAATTCGAGGTGCCGATGGAGGCTGTTGCTGAGATTGCTGTTGAGTTTGCTGCTGCTGTTGCGGAACAAAATTGGTGGCGTTTGTATAATAAGGGGTCTCGACCGGAGCGGCAGGATGAGGCGGCATAGGCTGTGGAACGACCGAAATGGGTCCCGAGACTGGAGCGGCACCAGAAACAACGGGGAGCGGCGCAACTTGGACTGGAAAGTTTGGAATGGGTATCATAGGTTCCGGTGGAATGTGCCTGTCGTTGCCGTTATTGTATTCCTCGTTGACTTGTTCCTGTCCTGTCTGTGGATCGGTAAGCTTCGTTTCCACTACAGCTTCTGTCACCTGTATGAGTAAAAATCACAATCAGATGATATACATATGAGTGAGCACATACATGAGAAAATTTGTAAGTTCAATATAATACCTCCTCTACTGGTGTTGCCTCTGAACATTCATGAACTTGATCAAAGTAACCACATTGATTAATTTTTATAATAATCTCCTTCAATTTATTATAAGTAGTGCCGACAACTTCACGTTGCTTTCCATCCACAATTGCCACATAATGCTCAGCTACTTTTTGGGCTTGTTGTGCAAATGTCGAATCATCTTCCTCGCGTTGTTTCATAATAACTTCAATATATAAGCTCTCCAGGTACTTTAACTCCTCCTCTGACAGTTTTACAGCCCCGTTTGTTCCATGAGTAAAGTCATTTCTAATTGAATCAGTAGCCAGCCTCATTAAGATGTGTTGAATAAGTAGCACTTCTTTCACCTATAAACAATATCACAAGTCATACTTAGTATTTTCTCAAACTCAATCATAGATACAAATAAAATTATATTTAAAATGTTGATGCATACTTTTGAAATATCCTGTTGCATGCGCTCGACAGCCTCCTTTCGTGCTAGTTTCTTCTGCTGCTTAGCCGAGTCATTGGCAATGTTGATGATTTGTTTGTACAGATCTCGAGTAATATCCAATGTTTGAGACACTTCGTCATATTTGGCCACAGCTATCTTCTGGTCTGAATTCAATTCCCTTCCATTTTTCTGCAAATCCCTATACGACTCGAGCTTGCCCTAAATTAAGAAAGGTATTATTTCAATTATTTAGATTCTTATAGATCTCTCTTCAGGTAGCTTAATTACTTTTTCTCTTCTTTGTATATACTCAATATTATTTTATAATTTATAAAATATTATCTTTATTGTCACGTATTTAAGTATTAAAGAATAGAACATTATAAATCATGAAAAGTTATACAAATATGTATGAAAAAATGTCAGAACACAATTTATAATCTTACTTGTAATCTTAAGAAAATACGTAAGCTTTACAGATATTCCGTGAAACGGTGTGATCGTACGATTCGATGTTCGCGACCGAACTTGACCGGAACAAAGAAAAGTCAACCGTGAATCGTCGATTTTACGTTACGTCGCGTTGTAAAAATCGCGATCGTCCACGAAGACCGGATATCGGTACTAATTAACCACAAGGTCTCTCGTGACGGTGCTCAAAAAGTACAAAGACAAGTCTCGCGCGTGTACAATAGCGGAAGATACACCGCCATGATACGGGGGTCGCCGATTGGCAAAATTGGCGCGTTCAGGAGTTCCGGAATTCCGGAGACGGGTCCGGATGACGCGTCCACGAGAACCTCGTCGACGCTCGACCGCGGACGGCATAGCGTCCCCGGGAATCCCGCACGTTGTAAATACTCGGGGGGGAAAAATCAAGGAGGCACCGAGCACATGGCGCATCGGGATCATGGCGGATCGCACGGCGAGGAAGCCACGGCGATTGACAGATCGACTTTTGTCTGTAATTACGACGAGTCGGGCCGCGGGGCCGCATTTACCTTACGCTTCTCGAGATTCCGTATCTTGTGCTCGATTACGATAATCGCTTGGCGTAGGGGTTCCACGGTCTCCGTAGAGGCCTGTTTCTCTAGTTTGGGGTTGGCAGAAGGCATCCTTCACGGGCAACAAACACGAACTGGAAACTGGAAGTGGTAAGCAAATTGAAGCGAGTCGCGAGTGAACTTAGTGGGGATGGCGGGCCCATTAAGGTGCGTTTATATGTGCGGCGACAGATGCTGAGGCTTATTCATATAGCGCTCGCTGCACTCTGATTGGTCGATAATTTCGATAGTGATTTTGGTGGCGCTTGATTGGTCTATCGGAACGCAGAGATTTTTGTTTCGTTTATCACTTTTTCGTAGTGTACAGCGTGTCTAGATATTTGTGTTTCGTGACTGTTTGTTTCGAAACGTGGCGGTAATTTTGAAACGAATAATTTGGTATCTATTGAAATTATATGTAACATCGATAAATTATATTTTTTATCTTCTTTGATAATTTGTCGATTCTAGATATTTAGAAGCAACAGTTATGTTATATTATTGAACAATAAAATTAAATATATATATAAAGCATGTACACATTATACGTTTTCATATATATTGAATATATTCCAATTAATAAAAAAAAGAATGCCTTTTTCTAATGATTATCATTGCAATTGTGGCTCATATTATTTTAAGGCAAAATAAAAATAAATACGATACTTGTATATAGTTTTTACGGATTCCTCCATTTTTTATTGAAAAAATGGTTAATAAAAAACATAAATATACGAGTAATGTTTTATTATATATAATATTTTGATCATATCTTTTTTCTTGATCGCGCAATAACAAAAAATACTGCAATGTCATTTTTCGTTACGATTAATAATTTTTTATAACTGATTTGCACGACGAATAATAGAAAGCGCTAAGTAATTTACAATCAAATAAACCTTATATCTTTTCAGATGCTCCCTAAGGGAAAAGAAAATATAATAAAATATTATTGATAGTTTTGCTTAATATAATATTGACAATAACTGTATGTTGTATGTCAAGGCTTCTGTTTCCTCTCTAAATGTTATATTGAATTACGAGAAACAAAAATTCATCGGTGAATTATTTTCATATTAAGTCAAAATAAATCAATCTTTTCCCATTTATGCCTATTATTTGTACGCTCGATAGTATAAATAAAATATTCCAGAAAATATATCTGAAATTCTTCTAGATTAATAAATAGTTGCAAGTCTTAATCATATCAATTTTATCAATTCATACTATCATGGTAGCGTATAAAAAACAAATTTAATTTTTTGTTTTTAATATCATAATTCAATATATGTAGTTGCAACGAAGAAACAGGTACCTTAAGCGAGTACTACGTGCGATAATACAATTCTCATGGAAGAGAATTCAATCGAACCATATTGCTAACAAATGATTTACATTATCGGTCGAATTATCACACGCAATCGCAAAATTACGCCCGATATGAACTATTGCATGGCACATTCACTGAAAAAAATCTCTCGCAGCTACATATTTTACTTAATTTGTTAGTTTATTCTGCGCCAGTGTCCAAATGCCCGCATTTTAGTTTTCTAGTGTGTCATTATATAAATCGTCCGATAATTTATTGTACAACCGATCGTCATCGGGATAAGCGCCAATGCGCAATTTTTTATCATTTGTCGAAATATTAAAAGTGTTCAAAATCTTCGTCCATAGCAGTTAATCATTTCCTCACTCTCTCGTTCTATTATATCTGTACAATTTACAAATATAATTTGATACATTATCTTTGAAAAATACATTCAATCCATACATGCACATATCACCATTCCGTTCTTCGAAAAACATTTGTCTTTTTTTCTAATAAATCTAGAAACGTTAAAAACTTAAACAATTAAAGATTTAAAACAATGGATATTAATAATAATGGCGATATTATAATAATAATAATAATAATTAATTTTATATAATAAGCACAAATGTCACTTAAACTATATGTAATGGTATTTAATATACAACAAAAAAACTCTTATCACACTATCCTAAAATACTTATTAACTATTGGAAAGTATCTGTAGAAGCGACCTTAACATATAATACATAATGCAAATATATTTTTCTTTCACTCTAATTCAAATATAATGGAGTTTTAATTTTTGAGAATAATTCATGTGAGTAAGATTGTTTCAATAGAAACGTAAAAGTCATTTGTTGATCATTGATTTTTTAAAGTAAGAATATTTTACTTGTTCTTCATAAATGAAAATTATATTCAATGTATATTTCATGTATACAAACTATTCTCTGATGTCATATCTTAATCTTTGATAATTAAATATTTTATTATTCTTGTTATTGTTATATTCACATTGTAATAAATCATTTTTATATTAAATTATCATGCTGGATAAGATCAAATGTTTAATAAATATTGAAAAATATATAAAAATACAAACATATTAAGAAAACAGAAATTAACATTACAACAACAATATTTCCTTTTCAAAAGCACTTTGCAACGTAAAATATGTTTAAATCTATTTATGCATGCAATATATGCTCTAATATGGAAGAATTTGCATACATTACATTATTATTGCGTAGGAAGAGATGTTTACTGAACATGTCGTATAAAATATGACATCAGAAACATGCAAAGTAACATTAAATATAAATATTGAATTGAATCTATATATCTTTCCTTTGAACATATTAAATATAGATTTATTTCTCTATAGCTTTATAGTGTCTTACTTGCCATTTTTATGTTTTATGTAATTGTATATATGTAACCCAAAATTTAGAACAAATAATTATAAAAAAAATTATGAAATTATTTAAAATAATCTCATATATAATTATTGTAAATTGCTCTACAAAAAATGTTATATATTTCTGTAAAATACTCAAAAAAAAATATAGTATTCTCTATATATTATATGAAAATTTTAATTCCGCGATTTGATAAAACATGGTGCAAATATGATTCATAAAGTAAGGACGTTCAATATCACGTCATATCACTATGTTTTGGATTTTTATCATATATCGAAGCTTATATAAGATCATCACGATACAAAGACTAAACTAAATGTCTATATTCACATGAATATTAGTTTCTGCTATTATTATTATTATGCTATGATTATGCTATAATGGCAAAGTTGTAGCTAAAGCTAGACTTCTATATCAAACGTGAATATGTTACATATGTATGTGAATTTCTTCCCCTTGTGCTTACCTGATGTACATTTATATATGTACTATGTCTTATCACTATAACTACAATCTCTCGATTACACTTTTAATTCGTCACTCACAATATATATCTTTATATATAAGACTTCATTGATACACATGCGAGACATGCGTTTTAATGGTGTTGATATTGGTGATAAAACGTTTGTGCGTTCTTGAAGATGTATCACTGAACTCGTAGCAGTCTTGATGCATTTTGCATTAAATATAAACAGTTATTATAATACCACTAAGATGGTTCACTGTCCATTTGCACATCGTTAGATACTGATTTGGGATTATTTTCGGTATTCTGTATAGGCACCTGTGAATCAGAAGTATTAGCAGTCTCTTTAAAAGTAAGTACAGTAGGAGCAGCTGCGATTGCTGTTTCAACATTTGCTTGCGAGATATTTCTATGATTTTTCATCGCTGACAAAATTGCTTTCTTTTTCGTTTTCCCTTGTTGCTCCATACTATCAATTTCAGCCCAAATGTTCCTCACTTCTTTAAAAAGCTAGAAAAAACAAGTTTTTTAGTTCAACAAAAAAATTCTTTTAGTGGAGGCACTAAATAAGAAATATGCTTACTTGATTCAACCATGCTTCATCTGCTAATAATTCATTTAATATTATTGTAGTATCTTTGTGTGGATCAGCCACCTTCTTATCCGTCACTCTTCTCGCACATTCCAAAAACATTAAATATTTTTGATGAGCGACTTTATTATACAAGGCTACCTTCTTTTGGCAAATACGGCACAACAAAAAGTCCTACAAACAAATACAAGTAAATAATAATCGATATAGATTTTGTTACGTGTTACTATATTCTATTTGTATAATGTACTTTTTCATGAGGTACTCTTGGATCTGGCGGTGAACCTTCCAATGTAGTACCGTTGTATGGTTGTCCATAAAGCAGAATTCTTGCAAAGATTCTAGTATGCTGACAACCACCACAACATTTCCCTTTATATTCTGAAGACGATAGATCTTTAAGCACGTTAACACACGGCCACGTCGATATTGCTGTCACGAAATTCGGTTTCCATTTAGTCGTAGACAAAAGGCGACGTTTCCTCTCTTCCGTTACTTCATCAACAGTCTTAACATTTGACAGAAAATAATCGTCTAGACAACAATAAAAAAAAACATATATTATCCTGTTCAAAAAAGGTGTTTTAAGGATATTTATACATATAATTATCGTGTCATAACATGTCACGATAATGTATATAAAAATATGAAATCGATTTAATTTTCGTATATAAAATAATGTATATAAAAATATGAAATCGATTTTAATTTCAAACAGCTCACCTTGTTCTTGAAATATTTCAGTAAGGAAATTGGAATCCAAAGCTTGCGAGATTAATGTTTGTATGTACACTTCAAAATTATCTTGATACCTCTCAGTATCTTTCATAGACTTATCGATACTCTCGCTATATCAGATAAAAATAAATATCATATAAAATCTATAAAATATCTCGAAAGATTTGAGATGATTTTTTTTATACACAAGTATTACCTGTCGTTAACAATCATTTCGTCCCTCAAGAACTCCACAATTGTTTCTATCTTGCCCTGCTGCCAAAATTTCACCGGCACTTGTTGATATATGTGGCGATTTTGTGAAACCCATGCAGAATACTGTAAAATTCGTATTATAAAATATTATAATTTGTATACTCATGGTATAATATATTTTATAATACTTAATTAATATATTTACCGTAGATATGTTTCTGTACAAAGTTTTTCCATTGGATTTGAATGGCTCATATTTTTGCAGCAATGTTTTACCATCTATCCTCCAAAGAGGAGGATACTCTTCATCCAATTCCGTCTTAATTACGACAAACTCGCCAGACTGGAAAAAATGAAGAAAATTATTAGTTTCTTGTAAAAAATTTATAAATATTATTCTTTAGCGAATTTAATCAGAATAAAACTGAAGAAATTTACCGCATCTTCTGAGTTGCCTAAATGCTGCATGTAAGATATAAAATTAACAAGATTAATTTATTTATTTCTGCAAGGTATAGCTAATACAATAATTCCTTCAAACCTGAATTTTTTCTATTTGTTTTATAACAATTAAGAAATTACATACATTACGAAAAACAATATAAGAGAATAAGAGCAAATAATTTTTTTTTAATGTATCAGATCTGAAAGAGTTAAATTATTACTGAATAACATTAGATACCTTAAATGGTGAAATATCAATATCCTCGTCACTTGCTGCTGCTACTAATTTTTCGTCAATCTTACAAGAAAGTTTGCCAGCGCTGTTGGAATTTTTTGAAGGCATCTCGTGTTTCTTTCTCGTTGATTTTTTCGAAACGATAGGTTCCCCAGACGAGTATCCGTCTTCCTCCAAGATTTTTCTAATTTTCTTGGTAATGACGGGTCTTACGCGTTTTTTCCTCTTTTCGTCCTCGTCCCCGATCAATTTCACAGCAGGAGTCCACGCTGGATCAGAATCGGAGTCAGCCTGTTCCTCGTCATTGTCTAAATAATCTAATAAACCCTGTTGTCGATCCAAAAATTGTTTCACCGATGTCTTTTCCTTCGCCTTCCTTCTCGATGTTTCACGTCTCGGAGGAAGTAATAGAGGATCTACTGTAATACAAGAAATATACATGTATTTTCAAAGTTAGAAAAAGTCCAATTAAAAACAATTATATATTTTGAAAATAAAAATATTTACGTTACCTTCTTCAATTTTCTTCGAAGATTTTTTCTCTGTTTCTGCTGTTGCCGCTGCCGCTGCTGCTGCTGCAGCAGCAGCAGCTTTCCTCTTTCTATCCGTGGGTCCACCAGGCTTAATAGGCCGACCTTTTCTACCTTTACTTTCTGGTTTTACAGCGACAACTTCGACATTACTCGCATAATTATTCGCATTCTGCACTTTCTTTTCAGTTTTCTTGGGAGGAAATAAGAAGTCATCATCGCTGGTAAATCCGTCATCGCTCGAATCGAAGTTTGCTTTCTTCCTTTCCTTCGGTAACGGAAAGTACCTAGGATCATTAGCGTAATCTATCACTGGTGTTTCCTTAACTGGTGTCTCCTTAACCAACGGCTTCTCTTGAGGTTTAACAGCCTCGCCGTTAGTCGAAGCTTCTGCGGGTTTGCTCGGCTCAACTGGTATATATGGCTTCGACCTATTCCACGTAGCCTTTCTACCGCCACGTATAGCAGGAGGTGGAGAAGGATCCCTTTCACCTTGCAGAAACTTCAAATAGCTCGTCATGAAACCTGTATTGGGATCCCTGCTGGGCCGTTTAAAGTCTTTATTCATTTGACTCGTGTTCTGCATTAGATGCTGATCCTGTTGAAGGAAACCGAGTTCCTCCTCAATATTAGGAACCACTACCTTAGGCTGGTCGTCTCTGACCTCTTGATTATAATTGGCGTTTTGATTCGCGACGTTTTCAGCACCGAATCCTATTGACGTAATTTCAACCGAGGGATGAAACTCTTGCGGATGATGCGGATGGTGACCCGCGGAGAGGTGGAAGGCCGGAAAATACATAGATGGTGGCGCGTGATGATGCGACACCATCGCCAACGATTGATGCTGATGAGCCGGGGTGTTCGCGAAGTTACTCGAGTGATGTAACGAGGACTGCGAACTAAAGGCGCCAGACGCGGCGGGAAACATCTTGGTGGGCGGAGGCGGTAGACCACCGTGGGTCCACCGATCAAACTCGAAGAAACCGTTCTGCTGTTGTTGATTCGTCGCGTTGTGATGTGCTGGCGGAGGTATCCTACCGAGATACTCCGTCATCGTCGTGGTCGTTCCCGTAAGCTCGTTCGGCGCCGCACCGTGACCGGTAGCCTTCTCCAAACTTTTCCTCTTCTTGTTAGCGCTATCAGCCTTTCGCCTATTTTCTTCAGCCTGCTTCTGCTGCTCCGTCGTGCCGACCGTAACGATCGCGTGCTGCTGCACTTGACAGGGACCCTGCTGTAACGTTTGCAAGTTCTTCACGATACTCATCGGATCCCCTCTGCAACTGCTCAAGTCCTGCAGTGCCACTTGATTAGGCTCGAAATATGGTTGCTGTCTGTTGTCTGCCGATATATTCACCAGCCTTTGCACTTGCTGCTGCTGTTGAACTGGTAAGCTCTGCGCGTTCATATCCCCAGTATTCGCACCGGTATATACGGCGACGGAGAACTTCCTGTTGCCGTTCGTCGTTTGGCGATTGTCGTTCTCCCAGCAGACCTGCTGTTTCTGCGTCTGCGAAAAGTCTTGCTGTTGTCCGTCGTAGGTCGTTTTACTCTCCGCGTTGTACGCTGTTTTATTGTTTTCCGTGCTGGTACCCAATGCTCGCGTGATCACCGAGGAATACGCGACTTGTCCCTGCGACGACGGCCTCGGAACAGTAACGTCCAGAGGTGACGGCGGAGTGACTTGTTGTTGCACTCCGCCTTTATACGCTTGTGCGGAATTGGTGCACTGATTACCATTGTTCTCAGCATGTTGCTGCAACGGCGACGGTGACGACATGGTCGCCATCGGACTGTTGTACATGGGATACGCGGGACTTGGCACGTGACCCAGGGGACTGGCTTGCGAATGAGCCTGCAGAGGACTCGGTCGTCGTGGAACGACGACGCTACAGTCGGGTCCGTTTTGCGTCGAGGTACTGGAAGAATAAGCAGAATCCGTCGAGGCCGCGGACTTGGATCTGCCTGGATGATGATACTCTGTATCATTCGTTCCCGAACCTGTTAAATAATGTCTGTAAGACGTAGTTTGCTGCTGTTGCTGATTCAAAACGTGAAACGTTTGCTGCTGCTGCTGTTGTTGTTGCTGCTGCTGAGCATGCGACTGTAGATTGCTGTTAGACGGCGTCCTCTGGCTGTTCGTAAGCTTGCCGCTTGAATTGTTGCAATTCGTGGAATTATTCGCAGCGTAGTTCAAACCACCACGATTGTCCATAATGGAGAAGCTGATCGGTGATGATTGATTATTATCGTGTTGCTCGTTTCTTCGATGTTCGACTCCATGGCTGCCCAATTCCGGATAGATCTTGGTCTGTGTTTTAGTTTGAATATTCTGTTGAGCAGTAGCAGTCGTCGCTTTGTTAGGCGGGGACGCGAAATTGCCATTGCGCGTTCCCTGTTTATCCTGCTGGACCGCTTGTGTGGCCGAACCCGAGCGTACGGAAGTGCTGAGAAAAATTGTCGTCGACGCAGTCGATCTCGAGGGTAGTTGGGGTATCCTGTATTCCTTGCCCGAGGCATTGCTCGGCGTCGACACGATACACGATTGCTGATGTTGCAATCCCGACTTCCCATTTCCGGCGGCAGACTGACCTCCATTTCCCGCACTCGGATAACTATTCGTCAAAGTCTCGGAACTGAAGGTTGTCGGTACTTGATGAAAAAACGTTTGTCTTTGCACGGGGATGGATTTTACGCTAGCCGAGGTAGGTGATTGAGGTCTCACATTGACAGATTTCTTCGCATCGGCCGGGCAGTTAGCAACTTTAAAGTCCGCGCTGCACGTAGATGGACTAGTTAATTGAGATGCATTGATATTATTTATAGTCTGCATTGTACTGAAGTGTGCGTTGAAGGTGTTCTCGTAGCCGCTAGTATTACTAGATTTTGTGGAGGGCGGACCCGGGGATGACGGAACGATACTCTCGTGCGGTAGAATACCAAACGGACTAGGAAGCTGTGTATTGTTCTGAGGTGTCCAGGCCAGAGTCGATGTCGTAGGCGATGTCGACGCTCCTTGTTGCTCGAAAAATGTAGCTTGATGCGCCGAACTATAATTCTCCCTCAATGTAGGAATATCGGACTCGCTCGTGGTGTTTTGTTTTGTCACCGATACCGCTGGCGCTTGAGCAACAGCTTGTCGATGCTGAGTAACATAATGCGCTTGCTTTGTATTGGGATGATGGAAGAGCGGCGAAAAGACTTCATAACCCACAGGGGGTGGAGTTAGAAACCCCCCAGGGTTAAAGGGGGACGGCTGACCCGCCAGATTTGCTGTTGTATGTGCCGCTTGTAGAAGTAATTGCGACGTCGTTGTTGATGGCACTGCTTGTGTAACAGCCGTTGCTAAATGATGAGATACAAAATCACTAGTTGTAGTTGGTGTTGTCGTTTGAAACGTTCCAGTAGTGCCGCTCGCAGTGAAACGATTATACGAATACCATGGACCAATCGGATCCATTACCCAAGCGTGGCACAACAGTGCCTTGCTTGGTACAAGTTTAATAGATTCCTCCAATGTGCAATGTAAAACATACACTCCAAGATATTCATAACATAACTTTTTATCATAACTTGTGTATATTTCCTTGCACCCTTACGTAGAAAATTATATTGAAAACATTTTCAACAAATGCAGTCATAAAAAATTCACCCAACAATCAGGATTAGCGGCACAGAAGCTGCCCATCTGAAAACAAAAACCAAGATCACATATTTATGGTTTTATATTAAATATTCTAAACAAATAAATATTAATTTGTTAAAAATGTCAAAAAAATTTTTTCTAATCGTGCATACAACACAATAAACTCAACATTTTGACAACAGACATTTAACACAATGCAGACTGTGAGACCAAAGAAAAGAAACAAAATATAAATAGTATGCCTTTCTTATGACAGTCTCTGTCACTCTTATTAATTCTGTCAAAAAGCACAGAGCATCATCTCGCAATCACAATTTCCAGGCATTAGAATATCGCATTTAAAAAAAAAGAAACAAATCCTACAAACAATGAAAGGGTAAGTACCATCGGCTTACATTTCGCATAGGATCCAGGACGAGTTATACAACAATGAAAAAACACACGCCAGGAAAATAGCCGCTTAGGCGTCTCCGGAGCAGCGCGAAATCGCGCACCCGGACGTGAATGACGACGAATAATCGATCGTCGATGTTGCCAGGATCCGGGAATTATTATTGCTCGTCTCGGCGACGTCTCTCGCGACACAGCTACGGCGATCGGTGGCGATGACACTCGACGTTGCACGTCCGACGACGATGACGTTGGGTCAGCGGAGAAGGATCGTCGCATACTCGCATACACGACGATGATGACGATAAGGATGACAACGACGATAACAAGGACGCTATCCTTCCTCAAGTGCGCGCGACCATACGGAGAAGAGGGTCTCGACGAGCGGAAGGACGCGACGCTCACCAGGTCGTCGCTTAGGACGACGACGTTTTCGACGAGTAACACGCGATAAATATGGCTACACAAAGTGCCGAACGTGCGATACCAGACGATACCAGGCGGGCGGCACCAGCAGTAGCAGCAGCAGCACCACCACCGGACGGCGAGTCGCGGCTCACATGATCCGAGCGTGTGCGATCACGGGGAGTAGTAGGGCGCATCCCGGGCACCGCTTCCCACAGCGTCGCGACGTCCCTCCAGGTCCGCGTACAGGCTCATTTATATCATCTGCGGCGTCGATGACAACAACGGGGACACTCATCGACACTCGTGCGCGCCGTGCATTATGTCGCCCCGCACTGCTGGTCCATTACTGACCACCATTTTGAGCCCGGTCAACAATAAACCGCGCCATCTCTTGTCTGCTTCGGCGAAGTCGCGCGGCTGCGAATACCGCGAACTTTTGAACGGATAAATGCAGACTCCCAACTTCTTTCAATTTCTGTTCGATAAATTTATTATTAGACTGTTTATAATCTGCAACAAAAGCTTTGCTAAATAATATTGTACAAAAATTGTCGTTGTATACATCGTTTTGCAAATTACGCATTTATATTTTAATCTGGAAACGAATGGTTGCACGGAAAAAGATGACAAGTACAAAACCAGCAACCTGTTGATTATTTAAATTCATTAGTACTTTTATATTTGTTCCGCCAAGTTCTAATTAAAATTCAAAACAATGAGCGTTTTTTATATATATGTATAAATGTATAATTATGTGCAAGATGAGATAAAAAAATTAAAATATTAGATATTAAAAATTCGTAATCACAATAATAACATTTATTTTTATAATCATAATGTAAGAATATATTTATAATATCGTTAGCCTAATAATTAAATAGCGTAACGCGCAAAGTACAATCACTCATTGCTCCGTGATTGACACAGATAGATATCGCGTTTACATTTTTTACAACTGCCAAATTATTGCTACAGTAGAGACTGAGTAGGCAGTTTATGAGAATCCGCGGATCGCCTTACCCAGTAGTGTAAAGAAAAAATAGGATTCAACAATTAAGACACTTAGTTGAGTATGTCGCAGATATCATACAAAGTATACCGATGCCACTGTTCGTAATTAATTATAAATAATTAAACAGAAATGATTTATAACGATCTTCGAGATTCGAATTTACAAAAGAAACATTAATTATCTCAACATTTGCTTATTATAGAAAAGATTAAAGAATAAATAAAAGCTTACACAAATTATTATTCCACACATGTCAACCAAATAATCAAGACTGTAATCACGAAGATTCTATCAAGACGAAAAAAATATATTAACAAGCTTAACTGTACAGTGGCGGTATCACAGTTATTTTGATATCGTACAATACTTGCAGTCACCCATCTCATTCAAAAAACTCTTGTTAAATTAAAATAGTCGCATATTATATAGATATTACATGATTATATGCAACTACATCTTTCTCACGTAAAGATTTATAAACTCATGTTTTCTCTAAGCTGATAATGAGATATTTTTAGAACATTCGTGCGCTTTTAAGTATGAACACGCTCTTTCAAACATATGTGGTATAGTTCATAGAAGTAAATAAATAGGCTATAAACTACACATTATGAAAATATACATAGTTACGAATTGATATATCATCGGTTGAGACTGAATTCGATTATATTGCGAAAACAGTTCGGAAAACTATTTTATAAATATGTTTAAAAATAATAATAATAAATAAAGACAGTATGTGGCAACAGGACGCATGTGACCTGGCATAGCTTTGGTTTTTCCTTTTTTTGTTGTAAAATACATCCACATTAATATCTAATTACGGTAACATTACAAAATGCAATATGTGATCAATATTGCTCTGCTTTATTTATGATAATGTTTTTAAAAGATTTTAACGAACGGCTACCTCATTTGCATTTTCCGCTGTTGCCACATTGCAAACTTTCCATATGCAGCGGTTAGCAATTGATTGAGATGGCTTGTCAAGTGTTGACTAACTGCGGAGAATTCTCTTTGAACACGATCCTGGAAATGTGATTTAGACATTGAGATCCATGTAAATTAGCAAAAAAACAAGAAATGAGTGGTACACAAAGCTTACCTCAAAGGGCTTTAATTTAGCAGAATGAAATCTATGTAGAGATTCATGCATTCTGATCGCTTTTTCCTCAAGTTGTGGAGTTGTCGGAGGAAAACTTCGCCAAAAGTGCCTCAACAATTCGCACGCACATACGTATACATTACGTAATTCTTTCTCCAAATCCTTTGGTATTAATTCTATATAATATTAATTTACAATTATAAATTGCGAATGTATATTTGTATCTAGATTGATTAAAAGAAATTGCACAAAAGAAATAAATATGACATTATATATTTATATGAAAAATATACTTACGCCCGAGACTCTCCTCTCGGAAACCTTTCATTAAAGATCCGCCAGGTGTTAATTCACCTAAAGCCGATACTGCTGCAGCCGGACTAACTAAGGACGTCGCTGGTTGTCGCGGTAATGTATTACCGCACAGCCATCCAGAAGCCTCCCTCTTCAACTGGCTTAATGTAACGAATAGTTCTTCCGAAGTTGATTCCATATTTCCCTCTCCTGGTATAGGTCCATGCAAATATCTATCTACATGCGCCAGATTCAATGGTGTTCCCTTATTTGTATTTATGTCACAGCTCGTGTCGAGATCATCGTAGGTAATCTTTTCTTGTATTCTACGCTGTAAAAGGATATTTATAAATGCGTTTAGTGAGACGTTCTTAATTTGTTTGAATTATAATTGCAAAAGTAAAATGGATTATACTTTTTTAGTCTTTGGTCCGCCATCCAATTCGTTATTCGTAACTTTACTCGCGGATGGTGTAGATCCATTTAATTGTGGTTGATTGGTTTGCGTCGATTGTTTGGCAGTGCTGGCTTTCATAACCATTATACTATGTTGATTGAACCTCTTGATCATACTTTGATGAACGATATTTCCCGATGTTTTGTCAGATTTACTACATCCGCTTCCATAGTTTTCATCCAGCGTTTGATCCTCAAAGGAAGTGATATCTAACAAAGGATCATTTATTCCGGATTGAAGATCCTTCTTAAGTTCTTGATCATCTATTTTGGCACATTCGGTAAAAAGATCCTTGGTCCCAGCATTGATACGATCTCTGTGAAAATAATGTGACTGAAAGAACTTTGTCCAGAAATCAGACTCTGACATTTTGTGAGGCACATTTTCCTGATGTTTCCTCTTAACGGCTGGGTAAGTCTTAAATATACATTCTATTATATCGACGGTTAAATTGTATTTTAATCCATTGCAGCCATCAGTTTGTGGTTTAATATCCGCCTGAAAAATTTAATCAGTCCTTTATTAGTAATTTTGATAATTTATGTATTAAACAAAAAATCTTTAGATGAGAGAAAAATCTTACTAGAAAAGCACTATTAACACCTATCTCTTGGCGTTGAATCTTTTTGGCTTGTGTATACTCTGCAGCATGTTGAGACCAAAACTCCTCAGATGTTATAACTTGTGTGATAACTAGATCACGATATAATTGAAGCAATACAGGATGTTCTTGAAGAGTTCTAAAAAAATATTTGTAATTAGTACAATTAGTATTCACATATACATGCTATATTCTACTCAATAAGAGAGAAACTAGAGTTTTACCTGTTTTTCTCTTCCAATTCTTTATTAACTTTTCTCTTAAATTTTGGTAATAGCTGTTGCAGCAACTCCTTTACATCGTCGCGGTCTTTAATTTGTGCTTCTTGTCCATTTTTATTTACAAAGTGAAATGTAGATGATGTACTATCATGCAACACCACTTGCAATTGTATCTTTGATTTCCCCTCTGGTGATATTTTTTGCGCTGCAATTAAAGAAGTTAAATATCTTTTAATCATACAGAAATTTTCTAAAGACAATAAATTACTGTTTATATAGTTGCTTAAAGTCTTACATTTAATATCAGCATATTTATGGCTGACAGATACAGTATCCCTATTGTCCAGCATCCATGCTATTCGTTCATTCATCACATATAAAGTGCCGTCTCCTTTTTTATAACGTACTTGATTCACTTGCATTAATACATCTTCCGATGACGTAGTCATGATGAAGATACAAAGTATGATATAATTCTTCTAGAAATAATGGACACAATCCTGAGAAAAAAATTATATTATAAATTAATAATCTGCATAAAGAAATGTTTCCTATATTTTTCGTTTTAAAAAACTATAACAATATAAATCTAGATTATGAAAATAATTATTTTTTTACACTGACAAATAGTTAAATAAAAAAAAGAAATAATTTTCTATTGCCTTTTCAAGGCAACGTTTTGTCGTATCGCGACAAAAAGATTCCTCCATAAATTATCGCGTTATCAAGTAAACAGGGATGAGAAAGCATCATAGCCCCATAGAAGACATCGTACAGTTTGTCCTTGAATATCGCGGGACGATAAATATTCCTCTTTTCCGAGAAATTCGTTTTTTCTTTTTTTTCGCGAAAAAAACTAAAAGATCGCGAAATACGTCGAACGACGAGGACGAGGGTGCCGTTTTTCGACGTCGTGGAAATGGTCCAACGTCGTGGCGCCAACACCGAGGCGAGTCACTCCTCGCACCTCGGAAGTTCGCGGTAAGCTGGCTTTTCTCGACACGAACGTATTAATCGGCGCAAATATCGCTTTTCCACGTATTCTCCCGCGTTTTTCGTTCGCGGGACACGAAATTCGACATGAAATGCATGCGTTTACCGGTGTCGGATCGCCAAAAGCCGCGGAGCAGTGTAGAGGCCCGTCGGGCGGCACGGCCATGTGCAGAAACACACATCGGTGGACGCATCGCGAGGCACGGCTACGGACGGACCGTCTCGGTACGGACAACACCATCGACCTGCGGCGACTGACGGCACTATGTTGCTCAAGCGACAGCGTTGTCGTCGCTTCCTGTCGCGGACCTGCACGCCCGGTTTGTCTTCCGTCCCGCATCCGTCCCCAGTCTTTAATTCACCCGGTGCAACCTCGCGTTAATCGCGCGTTATTTCGCATATTTACGAGAAAAATCCGCCGCCGCGTTCTCGCCACAGAAATTATTTTGAATTTCTCCAGTCGCGACATTGAGCACTACGCAGTTGCGCGCCGTGCGCGGAATCCCGACTGCGCATGCGCGGAGATTCGAGGCGGCGAAGCGCGCGAAATTACGAATTCGGGTTTCTTTCGGACACGAGAATTTGATGCCGATTAATTTGGAAAATTTTTCGATCGATGTTATGTCATAATCGAGAGGATTCGTATCGATCGTCAAAAAAAAAATATTATCTATGGAAGGTGTGTGCAAATATAAACTTTCGTTATGTCAAAATCTTTTGTGATACATATTTTTGTATATATATACTCTTTATAAATACTCTTACTATTACTCTTTATAACTACTTTATATATACTCTTTATAAATATACAAAATTCTTATTTTAAATAATGTTAACAAATATAAATGTTAAACGTATAAATGTAATAATAGTTTGATCATGTGTAACATATATAATCGGTTAGATCAATATATTAAGGTTACCATAGTAATGTTATGCAAGTAAGTACTACAATGATCTACAAGATTGAGTAAAAAAATTAAGACCGGATGCAATTATTTTCTGTCAATACAGATTTCGAGTACGTAGTGCGAAAACCGAAGCAGCAAAAAATATGTTTCGGTTCCGGACAATCACGGGATACTTCCAAGAAGGGAGCGAGTCCCTTTATGAAATATTACATCTTGGAAGATGATCCTAATATAGGGCCTGGCTGCTACAATATCTTGGAATCGTTCAACGCCATTAAAACTAAGGTACACATTTATTATATACATATATCAAAAATTGCTATTTTAATATATTAAATTACATTATACTTAATTACATTTGTTTAATCTTTCTCACCAGCCATGTTCTCATAGCATCAGCAAAAAGGGCTACAGTGGCCTTGCTCGATTCGGTAAATCTACTGATTACTTAGAAGAGTATCCGTCACCATCCAATTACAATGTTTCTTCCTTTCCTAAACATGTCAAGCTGCAGAAATATCCATTTGGATCTACCAGTGAAAGAAAAGGCATTTATGTTAATAAAAATCCAGGGTAAAGAATTTCTGCACTTATTTTTATAAGTTTTTTGTAAATAGTAACAATAATTTTATTTTAGATCTGGCATGTACGTCAGCAAAGAGATAAAAGGCATTACATTTCAACATAGTTTTGGTGGGAGAGTTAAAATGCAACTCGGTGTTGATCTCAAGTGTTGTAGTCGCAATACGGATACTTGTAAAATGTGTGGTAAAAAACCAACAGGAGATTACTGGCACTTGAATAACAAGATTTTCTTATGCAGAATGTGTATGACACGAGAATTTCAAGAGCAAGTAAAATTTAAGAAGAGGGAACTTGAATTATTTCGTGTAAAGTTTCAGTATTATTAATATAAAATATAATATTTCTTATGCAATTACATATAATTATGTATTTAATTATAGAAAATAAGAGACTGCTCGGGTATTCATATTCATGAAGGCACTGATGCAAAGATATGGTTAATGCATCCTGCTATAATCAAACAGTGGACAAGAAGAGAAACATATCTCTCGGCTTACTTAAAAGATTAAAGAAAATAAAATTATAAAATAGATTTTTAATTTCGAATACAATTGTTTATTCAATCTCATGCTTTTTTCATTATTATTATGTATATGCGTCAAATATAATAAAATTTTTACATAGATTGAATTTATTTCATTATTAATATTTATACAATACATTGTCATAAACTTATGTATGTCTAATTTTAGGCACTATTTACACACAAAGATTATATAAAAATATGCGCAAATATATATGTATAGTAAATATATTTTAGATAATACTTTAAATATTCTGAATAGAATAATCTGACGTCAATATTTACTTGATATTATCATTACGTATACACAATCATCAGTCATCAATAGGGTAAATTCTGTTAGTTTGGATGATTCAAGGAAAAGAACATATAATATATAAGTTAATTCAAGCACCAGTATCAATTAATTAATTATCAGTTAATTTAAGGCTCCTGTTTCCTCATTGTTGCATCCTTACATATTAAGTTACAATATCAGAAGCGAGAAATAGCAAATTCCTTGTCAAATATTTTCATTGATTCTTTTATGTGCCACCATTTGATAATATAGAACGTGAAGTATATTGAAACTCTGCTTTTTATTTATAAATGCACATATAATTTGCATAACGTATCTTAAATTCCCAACAAAAATTTATGACTACTAAATAATAAAAATTGAAAAATCATATATTAATAACCATTAATAAGAATCATATATTAATAATTATTAATAAAAATCAAAAAGGGACAGTCTTCAGTATATTATTTTTTAATTATATTATTGAATGCAAATAATGGCATAAAAAAAACTAATCTCATGTATTTTACAAAAAAAATTCATATAATTTCTTTTTTCTAATCACAATTTAATTTAATATAGGTAAAAGATCAGAAATCTTCTAAGTATATTTTAATTAGTCAGCATGTCCACATTAAACATTAGATTTTCAAGCAGAAAAATCTTACCTAGAATAGATGAGTGAGTTTCAATGAAAATTGATATAAGTACTCCATGTTATCACTAATATTATTACTCATTCATCTCAAAAATTTACATGGTGTAATTATAAATAATATGTGCAATATGTTATATCATAAAATATCTATTAAAAAGTTCTAAAAATTATTCAATATCTATAAATAAATTATAATTATAATTAATTATTAATTATAATTACTATTAATGTAATTATAATTATTATTAATGTAATTATAATTTAATTATAGATATTTTATACATGTTGCAAATTTATAATAAAATCATCCAATTTTAGAGATCCAGGCTTAGATTTTTTATAAAACGGCTTACAAAAATGTGGCGTGTTTGTAAAAAAGCTAAATCTTGTAAAAAGGTTTTTTGCAAAAGTGTGCATAAATAAAAAATGTGATATTAAAAAAAGTATTTGCATGTTGCAATGCTGTACTTGTAAATAGTCTTCAATTTTCTTCATTATTGAATTGATGAAAAATTTAATGAATATTTTAATGAAACAATATGAGTAGTATATAAAATATTTCACATTTTCTTAAAATAAATTATGAAATAAACAATGATTTTTTATAATTTCTTACTACTTTTATGCAAAATAATTAGAAGAACTGTGGGTATTTATAAAAAGATCGCGTATGATTTTATCTAAAAAAATAGAAGACCTTTAAATTTTCTCTATGCAATTTCATTCATAAAAAATTTATCATCACCATACAGTAACTCTTTCTGTACAGTGCAACTTTCGTTCGATCAATTTTTGCTTACCAGCACATATAGTTTTTAAGATATTATTGATTGTTATTAGTTCATTCTGTACAGATGCACACACAGAGATTGTTTTTTTCTATACTCTAGTCTAATTACAAAAGTATCTTACACAAAATATCCCAAAGTATTTAACTATCTCCTGACACATCCTGAATGTCGTCTTGTTGACTCGATATTACCGAAACTATCTTGGTTTCTTCCACGGGATTTCCTCCTTCTGGCGCTTGTCTCGATACTCCGGAAACAGACAGTTCGGATACGGTGGAAGTACAGTAATTTCCGATGTCAGTTTGTTGTGTTGATTTGTTGAATGACGTTACATCAATCGTCGATTCCGTACTATTATCCGACATTAGATCGTTGTTGCTGGATTTATAAATGACAGTAACATCGATATTGCTGTCGGCATTTTCGGATATGTCCGAATCTGTCAAAATGGAAAATTCTCCCACATTTTCCTCAGAGTCTACGCTTGTTCGATTTTTCGTTGGCACGTCGTTTCGAGATAGAGTCGTTTTGTTCTCCGTTAAATTCTGATCGATTCTACTGTCGCGCATCATCATCGCCGTACCAAAACTTCTAGCGTACTGATTGTCCAGTTGTTCCGCTTCTCCTTCCGGCGATACAGCAGCAACTTGCAGATCTGGCAACAAATGTTGATAGAGCAGCGGATTGAATATACAGTCCAAGTCCATATGACGTACATTGGAAGCGATTAGATATGTCGTTAATTCGTCACAATTGGAACTTTCGTTATTTTCTTCCGTGACTAATTCTTCGCGTATCACTGTAGATATTCTGTTACAAGATTGCGATTTCAATGTTTGAGATGATTTGGAACAACCTACGTCATCGACTAGATTTGTCACGTGAGAATAAGCTGACAGTTCAAGGCTCGAATCGTCAGTTTGAGTGGGCACCGAACAAGTTTCGACGCAAGTACGATCGTTCTTGTCCTTGTCCTGCGAATAATTATTCCTGTGTTCCCGTAAACTCGCAAACAGCTCGAGAATGTCTCTTCTCATTGGGATGGCTGACGCTGTAGGTGGTCTAGGTGGCAAATCTAAGGAAAGTTTGTCGAGTAGGTGATTTATAGGCGTTTTAGTACCTCGCGCCGGATATTCCGTGCTGTTAGATTGACTCGCTAGATTACGAATCGACGAGCCATATCGATTTTGATACTGATTGTGATAATAGCCTAGATGTTGTATGCTGCGCGCATTAGAATCAGCGCAACCGGTATCAGTCGCGTTTGAACTTGTAGCTCTAACTTGATCAGATCCCGGCTCGAAACGTGAATTATAACTACTGCTAATAGCGAAAGACTGTCCCACGTCATTTACGTTTTGATCGCTCTGTATGTTATTCTGTTTTGGTATTTGTGATGCATCGTTAGTGGGATATACGGTGCTTTGCGATGTGACCTCGACGTTTTTGTCGTCAGTATTTTCATTATCACTATTTGGTTCAATCATGTCGAAATCGTTATCAAAATCATCTTCAAAAGCCGTGTTTGTGACATCACTCAAACGTGATTGCAAACGTTTCGTGATTTCGTCTAGTTCGGTCAACTTTTGTCTATAATACATATGTCGATTATAATGAAATTTATACGAAAAATGGTAAAATAGTGCAACATAAATAAAAAAAAATGATTTTGTACTCACTTTAAAGACGATGATAGGAAAGACATAGAAACATCTTCCAGACCATGACTACTAATTTCTGCTGCTTCATTCGACTTATGCTCAGTACTTTGCGCATATCTGTCTTTATTGTAGCTTGCGTACGATAACATTTGATGCGCATTATTAGACTCTGCTGTATCGCTGCAAGGTGTGTTGCACAAATGCAGCCAGTTTGACTGCGATAAATTATTGCATCTCGATAGATTAATAGAGCCAGTTGGTGAAAATTTTCCCAAAGGTAAACTATCCAGAGGTGTTACACTTATCTAAAATTAATTAAATTAATTATATATACGAAATTTTTAATTAAGATATACATATTTTGTTCAAAATTATCACGTGAATTTACTTTAATTTGTCCGTTGCATTTTCCGGTAAAATCCATAATATGAAACCATCCAGACACCGTGGGAAATCCAGCCATCAGAACCGACAGATCGACAGCGGAAAAACCAATCACGATATCCTTTCCTAAATTTATTTCCATCGACGTATCCGGATCGATCAAATACCATACTTTAAGGATTAATCTTTTCTGATTCTGAAAAAGAATTAGAATTATATATAGTATTATTATTATAAATAAAAAATGTATTAAATATAAAATTATATGTGATAAGAAACATTGCAATAGATAAAATAAAGTTACATACATTTAAAAGTAGGTCCATCGGTAGTTTTGCGTCACATTTCCAATTCCACTTTGGATTGCAGCTACGCGGAAAAACATTCGTCATTACGCATGAATTCAAATGGCTATTAGAATCGAGTTTATGAATTAAATCCTGAAAAGTCACGTATGTACTCGGTTCCACAAAGTCATCCGGTCCTTTCATTTTGGGCAAATGTAGCGCGCATTCGATTTCCATGACAGATCGGAAGAAAGAGCTATCACATTCGGCATTCAAGTCTTCCGCATTTTCCTTCATCGCGGGCAAATTTGAAAGATTATCGTATGCATTATTTTGCTGTCGATCTAATTCTTCGTCGTACTCTGCACCGACGCCGACGCTTCTATACATTTCCGTAGGCAATTGAAAATCATTTCTCAGACCGCAACTATTATCGCTATTGTCAGTGAGACTATTACTATTTAGCGTATTTAAATGTAACTCTTTCTGGTTCGTTTCTCCTTCATCCGCTTGATTCATCTCCGTTTGCGCCGATTGATCGGTGTTGATCTTATTAGTGTGTAACACGTTCGTTAAACGATCGACTAAAGCGTGCAAAGCCAATTGTTCTGATTCAACTTCTTGCACTAATTTCTCCGGTCTTTCCGCATCTCGAAGGGTCGAGATATCCGTTTGACTTTCTTGACTCTTGTAATCGGCGGATGCTGAATCTCGATCGCTCGTACTATAAATGTGATAAGCCAAATGATTATCGCGTGTAACTTTCCGTGAATTGAGATCTAACGCTTCAGGAACATTACACGGTAAATTCTCTTGGTATGCGCTTGTTGCATTGTTCGTATTGTCAAGGACATGACAGTGATAAACTGTTCGCGGTATGACACTAGCACTTCTTAGACCCCTTGACACTTCTAATAATGCAATTTGCTCCGCAGTGCCAAGTGCAACCAGTGCAAGCAATTCTCCGCAAAATTCTCCGCTTACTGGATTGTTAATACTGACCCAACCATCCACGCTTATTACAGGATACTGTATGAAAATGATACAGATTTAATGTAATTTCGAAAATATTAAATATCTGTTTGTGTGAAATAACATTAAATATAATTACCTTTGACAATAGCAAATGAGGTAAAACAAGTGGGTCTCTATATGCAATGTATAACTGGTGCACAGGTAGTTTTGCTATTCCCAACAGATTATCTGTCTCACCGTTTTGTCGACTGTAAACTTCTATGATTATATAATTATCTCTGATTCTTTCCAATAATTCTATACCATGAATTAATGGCACCAGCTGCAACAAATGTTTGTAATGTAAAATTCACTTTTGCTCATAATTGAAATTATTTTAGTGAAAATAAGAGAAAAAATGTGTACTTGAAAGAAATGATAGAATGGATTTTTCGTATTACTACAGATTTGACTCGTTGCTTTGTCCTCTCGCCAAAATGCTCTACATATTAGATAGGTATTAGATTCTGGCAAATTTTTGCCCTCAGCTACATATATCAAGCCATGAAGTAACACCTAAAATTACATGCAAGTGATAAGATCTGTGATAAATATTTATTTAAAATGCAACTATTATATTTAGAATTTGAATGAATGCCATAATACGGCCATATCGCTTAGCCATTCGCGCTATACACAAACTGTCAATGTTTGAGCGAGAATTACTGCGATTATCTTCCTGTCCATTGCTTTTGTTCAATAACATTTTATTTCATTCAGCGTGAAGAGTCAAGTGGCATTAAAACACTCATTCGAGCTTTAATTATTTCATTTGAAGTTACCTTATCTTTAGTACCACTTTCTGGATTACTTGTATCAATTTTTTTATTATCTGAACTTCGTTCTCGGTGCTCTGCTATATCTCTCATAGCAATCAAATCCTTGTTATTACTAGTTAAACATCCAATTCGTTTGGCAGAAACGGACGAAACTTTGCTACTAGATTTGGAAGATTGAGTTCCTGTCACACTCCTGTATTTATTACTGTTCGAACTTAAAGATTTCATCTCCAAAACGGGAATATTTTCTTTTGTAGACACTATAGCATCTAATAAAATAACTTTATTACTCTATGAATATTCACCTGCTTCATAATATATCTCAAAAATATATTATACTCACCAATAAATTCTTTACCAAAAGTAAAATTGTAACCTAATTCTGCTGTGACTCTTAAATCTCCCATTTTGATGCCTTTATTGATAACAGCAATATTCTGAGTACTGCTTAAATTCGCAATCTTTGTAATGTCATTGATATTCATGGAACCAAATCCTAACTCAGTTTGAAACTTTTGATTAAGGTGTCGTACAAACATTTTAAATTTCAAGGGAAAATTTTTTTTTACAATGTGTCTCGGTATAATATATTTGGCCTCAGAATTGAAGTCAATGACTGTAAAAGTTATATATTAGTTTAATAAATATTTTTACAAAAAATAGTTGTCTTAATTATATATTATGCATATAAATAATTTTCCCAAAATAATATAAATCTTTACCTTGACCAAATTGTTTTTTAGAACACGTCTTTACTAACTTAATTTCTTTATTAGATTTTATATTTGTTTGTCCTGCTAATGCAAATGTTGTATCATATTGAATAAAATATGTCGGTGACAATGGTACATCTATGCTTGAAAAAAGAACATATGAATTATTCAAGTCAAATGTGTTTAAGTTTTTACAAAATACTGTAATATATTGATATAAAAATATATTAGTTTCTCAGGAAATAAAAAATTTACATACGTAGCAAACGCATAGATTTTACACGTCTGTATCCTGCAGGACTCAATGTAAAGGATTCAATTAAAATTCTTATACTATCTACATAATCTAGAGGATGTGCTCCTAAAAGAATGATGTATATATATTATTGCAGTATTCAAATATTAATTTGTTTATGAATCTTTATCAAGTTTACCAACCTTTCATCTCCTTATCAGGTGTATCTTCATACAAGACATCTTCTACAGAACTGTTTGATTTTACAAGAGAATTTTCATTCCTGCTTATATTATCTTTTTTACTAGTTGTAATCATTTCAGATGCCAAATCTATCAAACTTGGAGTTGGAGATGTTGATCTCAAGGTGTTTAAAGCTTTTTTCTCCTCTGAAGAAGTCATTTCGGTCCCCAAAAGGTATTCATAAAGTTTTGCTTCATTTTCTACTGAAGCATAAGGATACAAACCATTGCTCATTGAATTATCACTAAGAGCTAAAGAATCATCATTGTAAGCCTCTTTTAATATTGCTCCTCTAAGTCGCTGTGCTCTAGCAACAATCTGAGCAACTAATTTGTCTGTTACTATTTCATTAAATTTCTTCTTAGATTCTTGAAATTCTAGTCTCTTGGTATTGAGGACAGATCTGTATGTGTCACATTCATCATTGTTTGTTGATTTTGCAAAGTTCCTTTTTTTAATAACATTAGCATTCTTGTAGGATGTCACTGGTATTTCTTCATCATGTTTCAAGTCATCAACTGATGCTAAAACATCACTTTTCTCTTGTTTCTTACTGTATTTGCATGTTTTTAGTTGCATATTTGGAAGCTTTGTTAAATATGTCAGTTGCAAAGAAACGCGTAATTTTCCTATTTTATCACCATTGTTATTTAATATTGGAACAAACTGAGTATAATATTTACATGTAAAAATCTTAGACAAGTCTCCTATACGTGCCGTGCCAATAATCTCGTCTGTCTTTTCTACGATAATCACTAATTCTATTGTTCCACAGTTTTTGAGATAATCCTCGAAAAGCGTCGCATTAGTTTTTACAGTGTATATTTCGTTTGTATCCTCCTCTGTTCTTACTGTATCTGTGGTACTACTTATTGGCCTGAAAAAAAGAATAAACACATTAGAACGTGTTTGTGCACAAAGAAATGAGCATAAAGTATTGAAAAATATGTATAAGGCGGAATATTGTTTTTATTTAATGTGACGTTAAAAAAAGGTGCTTTGAAGCACAAACATTGACTGAGCACCTGAATTGAGCACTGTCGTGTTCGCCCCACCAGGAAGCCACTACCGTGACATCTCCGGGACTCCTAAGCCAGAGGACTTCGTCGATAACGAGCCTCAGGCTACCGTGAGTTTTGCCTTCGACGAACGGTGGCAGGGATTTGTGCGATTTCGCTTCTGAATCCATTTGTTTTCTGCAGGACAACGCATAACTGACATTTCACACATCTGTCATCGGGCTTAGGTTAAAAGCACGCCGAATAACCACGCGATACGGCGCGATAGAGTGGCAACAGGGAATAGAATGACGGCTCCAAGGCTCCAAGGCGAGCTGATAAACAAGGCTTGCCAATTTAAAAAATAAAAAAAATGAAGATACATACGACGCCTTTGTAATTTATGTACAGAGGGCGTGAGGAATGTCTTCCGGTTTCAGCATTTTCGACGCATTATATCTAGATATTCATACATCATGACTTTTTGTTGAGTCCAAAATATTAAATAAATATGAAATATTAACAATATAAAATATTAAATTTTTCAATATGAAATGATTAATATGAATTATTATGATTAATATGAAATATTAAATAAAACATTAAATGGAAATATAATAAATAATTTAACAACTGTCCGACCTGTCTATTTTAGATCTATAAACAATAAACATATAAAGTACATCTAATTTTATCATAAAAGTATAAAATTTACAATTTTTCATAATTTGTTCAATGATGTGCATATGAAAACTGAATTTGTTAATTTTGAAGAAAAAATAATGCAAATATAACGACATAAATATTGTATATTTTATTTAGAAACAAATAACACAACCTTATTTTACTTAACAATTCTTGTTCATTTGTGCAGATTTGCTGTAGGAATAATAGTTAGAAATTTTCTCATTTATATGTACATCCTATATAAAAAGCATTGTTTCTACCTTTTTATCTTTTTTTCGTATCAACACAATACATATATAACTTATACAATATACTCAACAATAAATGTAAATTAAACTGTACGTAAATTGTATGTAAATTTTTTTGTACGTGTATATTAACGCATATGCGTTAATTATAGATTAGTGGAATGTTAAATATTGGAATAATTTTCGCCTAACACATACCAGATCTAGGCTTATTTAAGGAAATTATTTAATGATAACAAATACAAAGATGCAATATAAATCTCTAAGGTGCACTTAATGCTTATGCAAAAAAAATATTTAAAATTATAGAAATCTAATAAAATATTTAATTATATATTGAAATGTATCCTTATTTTTAAATACATAACATAAAAGTGAAATTCTATAAGCCCAAATGGATCAGGTATTGCTATGTGATTTTTAGTCAGGCTACATTGTATATAAAATATACTTTTTATATAGTAAAGTATATAGAATTCTTAAAATTTTTATGGCACTGGAATAGTCTTTCACAACCAGTTTCTTTTAGATTTATAGCAAAATCAACAACTGCAAATGTCTATATAGTAAAATACTGCTAATATGTAAATGTATATTATAGAAAATATAATTTGTGAATATAGTATTTTCTTCTTTTTAGAATTCTGGAAGACCGTTTTAATCTTCTTTTTTCTCCTCATTCAATAATTCAGCTCGTGACTTTTTGGATGGGAATATCACAAAAGAGATAATTGAGCTATGCTAAGAGTAAAACCAACTGCATTCTGAAACTATTTGAAATGTATAGAGTACAATAGATAACGAAAATAATTTGCAATGTCTATTAGACAATTATCTTGCATATTTTAAGTTTTTGAACTATCACAGAATATACTTACAATTATGAAAACATTATTGATGATAATACCATACAGTAACCACAGAAAGGAAACCATAGTGCCCATAAAGATAAGTGGAAATGGAAGAATTTCGGTGCTTTTTGTTTTTATAACTTTCTCCTAAAAACCGAGCAATATTTTTACATAAATGTTTTTATAAAAATATTTAATATATAAATATTATAAACATATCTTACCAGATGCATTAAAGGAGATGCAATTAAGAGAAGAAGGAGTACTGTAACCACAATGCCAAATCTAAATTCGACATTTGCTGGATGTTCAACTTGCGCATATACAAGGAATATTATCACAAAAACTGTTACTTTAAATATCAAGTTAAACACTTCTCTCTAGAAAAAGACATTACATAATTTAAGTTTAATGTAAAGAATGCAAAAATTAAGTATATTTTATTAAAGCTTTGTTAAATACCGTATTTGGTGCATAGTAGTAATACACTGTCATATAGATAATGTTTGTCAATAAGCCAAACACATTAACATTTATCATAGTAGAATCACTTAACATCAATGCGTATCGAAGCATCAGGATGCATCTAAAAAATATTAATTTAATCACAAAATGCAATTTATTTATTTATAATTTAATATTATTATAATATAAGCATATGTACAGGTGAATTCAGTCTTCAGCAATGAATTCAATAATTCATGAGCAGCAATGAAAAGTCTTATAAAATATACTGTTATTTATAAATACATGGAATTTAGTTATTAAATAATTTTGTATTTTTAATTATATGTAAAAAGAATATGTGTGTATTTACTTACAATCCTATTCCACCAAGGAAAGGCATTGGATCAACTCCTCTGGCTGTACCTTTCTTGTATATGTCCTTGCATATTAATCTGCAAATTACAATAATATAACTATGTTAAAAATAAGCAGCATTTTTTAAATTAGTGTAAATTTTATAACTTTGAATTTATTGCAATTAATGAGAAGTTTTAAAAGACAATTCAAATTATATCTTGATAGTAAGCAAATATTAAAAATGATGAATTGCGAAATATGATAGTACAAGCTATCATTGAGCAGAATGACAAATTGATAAAGTATAATATCAATTGTTACAACTGTTATGTGGAAGAATGTTTCAGATTTAATTTTTAAAAAATATTTTGCTTTTCTATATGTTTATAATGTTTTATAATATTAATAAAATATGAAAAAATATTCTCTTAATAAAAAATTGCCATTATATATACCTATCTCTGTCTCTCTTTCTTATACTCGTGCAAGACATTAATTTATATTTATATTTGTTAAAAAGAAAAAATAAATTAAAAATATATTTATTTATTACATTATACTTACGTTCCAGCTAACATTTGTGCCATCGTAGTGTACATGGCACAAGTTCCAACAATTTCTTTGTATTGTTCGAGGACCATTTTGCTCGATTCGTTTGTGTCAGTCGTTACTTGTTACAATTGTGCACCACGTCAATTATCAATGTTATCAGTATCAAGTGCTGCAAATTAATCAGATTTAAACCAGTGATAGATATAGAAAACTGATTCGCGGCAATGGATTCAATTGGATCGAATGACGTTGAAGGTCGAAGTGCACTAAACTGCACTGAATTCTTACTTCTTCGTTCAATGATAATTTCTGTAATTCTGCATAGAATGTTCTTCCTAAATCTCTTCACTTTCTCATTCTTTATTTTAATTTGCTTGCAGGTGCTGTCCTGCAATTCTTTCCTTGCCTATAATTGTTTCTTGAATTTTCCTCAAGTTTCTTGAATTTTTCGTCTCTTCTTAATTTCTAGGTATTAAATTTGTTGAATTCCTTAAATCCACTATTTCTCTGTTAAAAAACTTGTGTCAAATAATAATCAAACGGAGTCAAACTCAAGAGCTGCTGACTATCAGTCTATATCACTTTTACACTCTGCTGCACTCTAACTCCAACTCCAAATTCTAGACTGGGGATAAGATAGAAAGACAGAGATATGCGAGGTTAAATGCTGTCTCTGTCACATGTTTTAAGTGGGGAACATGGCAGCAAGGACATGATACATAATACATTATGCATAACACTTGATACTGTTATCATGATATCATGGATGCGCTCTAGCTGACTATATTTAAATATCAATGAGAATATAAACAATATAAAAAAGTATTATTGCATTCTATATATATCTAAGAAAAAAAAATATCCATAAAAAAGTATAATAGTATATATATGTTATTAAAATAAATTAAAAAAATATTTTTCACAATTTCTGTAAAATAAATCTTGTTTTTTTAATGAAACTATTTCGTTTTTAATTAATTTTGTTTCTCTCTTTTATGAGTTACAAATAATAAAATGTGAAATTATAATTTTGTATAATGTTACATAAAGTTTTTTAATATGTTAATAAATGAGATATTTTTTACACTTGTTGCTCATGAATATTGCAATACTATATTTGTAATGAATATTGATTAATGCATCATCTTACTAGAAAATATATATTATATACATACATGTGTATACACATGAGGATATGATCTTGAGAATTTTATAATTTATCTTTGTATTCTGTTTTAGAATTATACAGTGCTTTGATAGTCATATATGTTCTATTATAATCTTTAACTGTTTCAACTCTTTTGGTTCCAGGAATAATCTTTTTCTTTACATTTCTAATATTCAGTTGATGAATATGTATTTCTTCATGAGGTATTTCCACTTCATTCTGTATACTTTTATTAAATAATGTAGATTTTATAATATCTAATGCTTCTCCTAAAATAGTAAAATATAATTATATATTATTCTTTGTTATAATATATAAATATAAAAAATGTTTTAAAACAGAAAAAACAGTCAAATTTTATTCATCTTAAAAATGAGAAAAAAAATCATGTATGTGCACACGCATGCACATGTACGCGTTTTTGAGTTATGGATATAAAAACATTTTTTCCAAATTGAAATCATTTTGTGATTATAATAAAGTTTTTTATTCTACAGTGAATAGTATATGTTTAGATATATATTTCTGAGAAATATTCTGTTTAATATGTATTAAAATAAAGATTGATATTATATAATAATGTACTTTGTGACTCTTATAATACTTACGTTCATTTTCATGAAGTATCAAATCGTCGAAGAAAGCGATGTTTCGTATAAATAAATTAAACATATCTTCTATATCAGATGAACGAGTAAGAAATTCTGGATTACAATTTACGAGATGAGATAAAAACCTAATGCCTTGTTTCAATACTTTATGCTGGATCTTTTTAATACCAAGCCAAAAATTTTTATCCAACTTTTCCAAATATATAGCAGATAGATGTTTTTCCATATTCTGCTCACTGCATTCTGTCTGACATGTATAATTTTTATAATTAACTTTCTTTAAGCTATAACACTTCTTGGAATCAGAGAGTAAATTCTGCCACTCAGTATTATCGATTATATCTAATTTGGTTTCAGAAGACTTTTTCAACATATTAATTGTGACTCGTAATAGCTTCATATAACAGTTACAGGAGTCTGAATTTTCAATCCTTAATAAATTATTATTCGTTTGCAGAATATCCCACACAGATGATATTAACCCATGACTTATATTTACAATAGTGAGAAAATCTGGATTAAAATGCTCCAATTGCAGTATAAGAATTTGTAAGACACAAGCATCTGAAAGTATAGAAAATGTATACTTGTTATTATAGATGTTTCTTTTAAAATAAACTAAATACGTTATAAAATAAGAAAAAATTATAAAACTTATTACAGAATGGAATAATAGTTACCTGGTGTAAAATGTAGAATACCTTTCCAGTTTTTTACTGATTCTATTAAAATAATGATAATTGATGATTAATATTACAAAATGTATAAATTTTTGTTAAATATGCACAATATATACTTACGCGAACTGCTGCAGAGTTTTGGTACAAATTCGATATAACATTTACTAAAAATCATTAGGAAGTCTACTAAGGAAATATAACAGAGTGACAGTGGCCTCGAAAACACTAGTTGTTTAAAGATAAGACATATGTATTCTAATCTGAAAAAATAATTGTATTTATAAATTTGTAAACATTTAATCATGAAAGAATAATATTGCCGTACCCTTTCTTACAGTAACCTACTTTCCGCTGCACATTGCACAGTACTTTTATTATTGCATTAATAAGACCTGTAAATTGATGAGATCTTCTCTGCAAATAATAATATTTATCAATTATTGTCAAAGATAGAAATTTTATCTGAATAAAAAACTATCTTAAAAAATAAAATAGTATGTACTTACAACACGTCCTATTAAAGTAACGCATTCTAGAATGATCTCAAGAATTTCAAATTCATGATTTTTTTTTGACCATGCATTATAACGTGTCATTTGTGGTAGGAAACGATTATAGCACTCATCATTTCGCGTGCACAATAGTGATTTTCCTGCCAAGTAATTGCTCAAGTATGATGATTCCAAGCTGATATACGAAAGTACACCAAGTAATCTTCTCGCCTCGATACCGCGTTCTCCTTCATGCCATGCGTTTGCTTCGCACTCGGACTTGATACAAATATTATGATTCTCATAAACATTAGAAAAATACAGATCATTCATATCTCGAATATCATCATTCCTCATAGCTTGAAAAATCATTTGCAAAACCTTTACAACATTCAGCATTAGCTCCCTTGTAGTCAAAACTAGCTGAAAAAAACAAAAATATATATACATATATAAATTTGATGAATATGCATTCCTTCATAGTTATTAATTCCACCATAATATACACTATATTATTATGTTATATTTAAATAAAAGTTCAAATATTTTTTTATATGTACCTTATTAATTATTGGTATACATTTTTCAGATTCTATCTCATTATTAGCTTTTCTCTCAATGATTGCAATTTCAGGTAAAACAAATTGTATTGTCAATTTTTTCTCATTTACCATCGTAATTACTGGTTTTACCAAGTCGGGATTTTCTGCAATATGTAAAAAAAAGATTGTATTAATATATTTTTTTGTAAAGAAAACAAGAAAAAAAAATAAAAACAATATTACAAATATATCTCTATTCACCAAATATCCTAAATGTTTCTTCTTCTTGCAAAATAGGCAAATTTCTTCTTCCAGTTTTTTCTATGACTTTGATATTAACAATGGGTTTCTCTGGCAATGATGCTTCAAACATTAATTCTGAAATTCCTGTAAGTGGAAAATCTAAAAAATATTTAAAACACTGAAAGATTATAAATATAAAACTTAACAATACATAATTTATGAATATTTTTCGGCATACTCACAAGTACCATATGTCTGAAGTTGATGATCAACTTTCTTGTAGATATTTGCTTGTACACATACATCTTTTACTTGATTTTTATTTGTATTTGCTAGTCTGCTTAATTAAAATTGATTTTATATTTATTATATTATACATTTTAAATATTGATTTTAAAAATCTGTATTAAACAATTAAGATTTCTAATTTTCTACAATATCAGCTTACCGATTGATTGATGTGTTACATTTACTTTTATTAAAAGAAGTATTCATGTACAATGATTGTGGTTCTTCCAATTTAATATTTCTAGATTCTAATCGCTTACAACGTTCTTGCAGATTTCCTATTTCTAAACTCTGTAAATTAATAATTAATAATATTAATTCTATTTTTGTAGTAAAAGAATAAAAAAATAAACAAAATATACATACTTGTAATTCTAATTGTGTTTTCAACTGTTCTTTCTCTTTACAAATTTTGTTGATTTCTAATCTGTGAGTATTAGCTTGCTCTTCAATTAAACGCATCTTTTCTAATTTTTCATTTTCGGTCCGTAACTGAATTTGCTGCACTTGTTGCCGTAAATATACAGTTTCACCATCTTTGGTTATAAAATCATTCAGTAATTTCTTATTTTCATTTTTTAATTTTTCCAATTCCTTGTTATCTATAAATGTATATATATATACAGTAATTATATAAACAAAATACTTTCTTATAATTATTTCCTTAGTTTGTATAAGAATAATTACCTGGTACAATAATGTTATTTCCCTTCTGAAATGTCGAATTGTGACTTTCTGTACTGATTAGGTTGTTTCTAAACTGGGAATAATTAATATCTGCAACATCTTGACTTCTGCTTGGTATATCCTTTTTCACACACAAGTCAGCCTTTCCTGTAAGTCGTGATAGCTTCAAACGCGATGTTTCATTGCAAGCAACAGCGAATGGTCTCTCTGAGAAGTCTGGTTTCATCAAATGCAAGCCACTTCCACTCGGTTTCGCATTGTCTAATGTATTGCTCGTCTGGAAAAAAAAATTACATTTTCGAATTAATCTTAAAATTGAATATTTTCTCATTGTAGACTGTAATACCTGCGAATATGCTTGAGACGCAATCATATCCATTTCTTCGATATCTTCTTCGGCGAAATCGTCACCCCAGAGATCATCATACTGCACTTTCTTGTTCTCGGGATTACTGTTGGGAGAGTCGAGCCTCGCTCTTTTCACGGATGTATGACAATCTTTCGTTGTGCTCTCAGGACGTTTAAACATCGTGATATGTGATAAATTATTATCAAATGTCATAATATGTGAAACGAAGCGGCTTGGTTCTTTATGCGATTCTTTTCATGCAATTCACATTTTTTTCTCTTAACGAAATGGCGATGACAGAAATGTAGTAAAATTAGGGCGTTTCATATTGTCATCCTGATAAATAAAAAAACAATTTGCAATTATGAAATTATTACAAAGCTAATCATATTTCGGCAAAATAAGTTTGTCACTACCATAAACATTAATAAACACAGATGACACGAGACATACAAAATATGGCGCGCGCCAAAATCGTGGAATTTTCAACGCATGCGCAGTAGAACACATCCGTAAATGTGTTCTGAAATTCACTGACAGTAAAAGTCAGTATTTTATGTACATTTTACTGGCAGTGAATTTCAGAACACAGCCTGTATATACACATACATATATATCTTATTCAAATATATATATATATATATAATTATTAATATTATAGATTTAATATTATTAATAAGAATTAGGGTATAAATTAATATTATTAAACTAGTTGCAAAATAAAAATATATAAAGTTGGAATAGAAAATGTCACCAAAATGATTTAAAGATCTCAATTTAAATAATAAATTTTATATTATTCATAACAAATAATATATAAAATGACACATGCAAGCACACACATACATATGTTTTTAGGTTTATTAACCTATATTAAATGACCACAAATTGATTCACTCACATTTTATCGGTATTTATTTTTTCTCATTTTATATATATATAAGATAAAATCAAAATTCATGTCCCTATTTTTTACATTTTTTTCTTGTATTATAATATTATTTGTTGCTGTAACTTTTAATCCTTAATAATATAACTACAGGTATTAAATAAAATCAGACATAAGACTTAATATACACACTGACAAACATACTTTTTCTTTCTCTCAAATACACACATTCTATCTCTCTTTCTCTAACGAAGCTTAAGCAGAGTTGATACAACTATAATTATTATTTTAAAATGTTCAAACATATATATCCTAATTTCTTATTGATATTAAATCTTTGTCAAATGTATGAACTTAATCTAAATTCATATCTGCACTATATAAAATATACTTTCAATTTACTCTGGCATCATACTTTTGTTATTAAATTAAAATATCACATACATTTTCATCGTTTTAAGTAAATCATTTGTTTGTTATAATTCTTATAAATTCGACTAATAGTTTTTTAACTTATTAGATAAGTGATCAAATAATACTAAATTAATACTGTTGAATTCAAGATTAAACAAATTAAAATAACGTTAAAACTAGAGAGATTATCAAATAATGTATCATTAATGAAATTTCTAATACTATGACATTACTATGACATTACTTGTACATTACTTGCACATGAAGAAACACTTATTTTTTAATCAATATTTGCACTTACAGTAAAATTTAAATTTTATAAAAAATGTAGACATTTAAAAATATTAGGCGGAAAGATATTCTTTAACGTTTTTAAACTCTCAAAGAATATACTTGATTAAAACAAAATTTGTTCATACTTTATATATATTACATGTATATAAATGATAAATATATGCATAATAAGTATATACAGCTTGATTCAAGGCACCATTCCAAGTATAATCAGAAAAGCAAACTTGATTCATAACAAATAATTTGTTGGTCTACATTTCTTCCTGACTCGATTTAGCTTACTAAACTACAGTTGTATATACAATATAAGTACATACAAATTAGGAACTTTTAATCGATGCAACAGAGACAAAAAAAATTAGTAAATTTCTATTCTCTTTTGAACAAATTAATCTATGATTTATAAATTATTCAACAGAATATGAGCATATTATATTTTACAACACGAAATAATGATCGAGTCATCTAATAAACTAAACATCTCCATGTATTAAATTAGACATTATGGAATCCATTTTTATTACTTGTATTTTGGATGTCAATCCTTTAGTTGAGTCTACATTGTATGAAGACCAATAGCTTATCAATTCTGGAAATTCATTGTTATTGATGTATTTAACTGAGATAGAACTAAATTGATTGCGTGAATTTAAGTTTGGTTGACAATCAAATCCATGGCACAATAATGTTACATCACTTTGACTAGCATTAATAGCTTGAACATCTGTATAGTTTACGATAACTATTAGAACTCTTTCTGTAAGTCTTTGTTCTGCAATAGTTGCTTTTTCTACATGGTCGGATAATAAATCCATCCATTGCCAAAATTTAATGGCAAAACCAAAAGTATAAGGTTTACCCGAAGCCATTAAAAATGCCGGCTTCGATGCAAACGCATTCGAACTCACGTGATCCCAAATAGTTATCGATTCATTCGTTAATTTTGAAGCGTCAAATTCACACTAGCACGACAAAGAGTTCCCGGACATATTCCTTCATTTTCTATAGTCAAATGGTGGTAAGGCGTAGGCTTCCAACTGTATTCTTTATTGTATAGTTTTACTATTTCAAATAATCGTGGTGATTTTAATTCTGCTACAAAATTGGTATGTACCTTTCGCATTTTTATACTGTAGAATAATTGTTTCAAACTCATAAATCTTGGTACAACTGTAACAAATAAGCACTCATTAATAAATAGTAAGATGTATAAACAGAAATTAAAAAAATTAAAATATAATATTTATAGTATACATACGTTTTGCATTAATGTCGTAACAATTAAAAAGTATCTTCTTGTTAGAGACGAGATTATATATATCAATAGATGTGCAATTATTGACTGAATAACGTTCCAGTAACTGACCAGTCTTGCCAGATAAAAAAGCAAGGTATAACATATTTTCATTATCTACTGCTACACTTAATAAATCTTCAATATTATCTCCATTGATATCTGGTAGAATAACTGGTAATTTGGAAAATGTATGAGTTGTGGCACTCCAATGAATTGTTCCAGCAATCGGTTCTATACTAACAAGCAGGCCTTGTTCACCAGCAACTATACAGTCAGGCTTTTCGGATTGATCAATATCAATACTAGCACAATCTATAATAGTAGGTGATTTTTTTAACGGTACCAGCCACAGTGGTAATCCACTATTCCCTTGCATTGACATAACACCTCCTCCTTCTGGCGGTATTTGTCTTTGTATCATTGTATTCTTTGTATCATTTTCTCTATATTGTTCACCACGAAGAAGAAATATTAAATTATATGGAGATCCAGGTACTGTAGTAATAGGCCCATGTATTTCTGTATTTAATAATATAAGAAATTTATATTTGAATTATTTTATACTAAATTATATATTTAACATTTAACATTAAATGAAATAATTAATAATATTTAATGCAAATATCACAGAGTATAAATGAGTGTATATATTTTATATTTATTTCAAAAGAGAATAAAAATTGAAAACATTATAAATATTATATTTATACAAGTATGTGTGCATATAATTTACATTAATAGTAATAAAATAAACTTACCAACATCTTGTAAAGTTTTGTCCCATGATATGGACGATTGTTTTTCAATAATTGGTGGACAAATCATTGAACTGTCACAAGGTAATACGTACAAGAAGATAACTATTGTAACAATGCATAATAATATGGATGCAACTAGACAAAAACGTCTCATTGGCGACATATCTTTCCTTTCCCAAAAATCATTCTGCTCACTTCCTTCAATTACCATGACTGGTATATCATCCTGATAACATTTAATTGTGTTTTTGTCTATTTCTTGCACTATTTCCTAGATTCTGTGTTTCGTCCAGTGGATAAAACACCCCATTTTCATGACCTGCATGTAAATCCTAAACAAATACATATAATAATAAAATATATAAAAATTTGAATTTAAAGCATTGCAAGTATTAATATTCATATCATCTATCATATACATTCATATAGTAATGTAAACATATATTATTATACAATAAACGCTAATGCATATTTATAAAGTATATAATTAAAAAAAGACTGAAATACTTTAGAAACATTTTTTGATCTTTAAATCTGAAGAATATAAAATCTTATTCTCTTTTATACAGATAATTTTATATAGCTTGTGAATGAATGGTAATTTAATTCTAGAGGCTCAAATAAAATTTTGTGAAGACATTCTTTTGACATATATTAATATTTCGCACCGCTATTGTCGTAGTATTGTCGATCTTGTAGGTAATATGATTAGGTCGAGTTAAACGTTCCTCTTCATCCTCGGTATCGGTATTGCTCATATTTTGCGATAAAGGTGTGTAACCTTTGCCACTGTGATCTGTCGACATCTTAAATGTAATCTCAAACAAATATCACGCTTCTGCAATTATTCCAATTGTGTCTTATTATTGTTGCAATAATCTCACAGTATTGCCAGGTACGTCTATAAATCGGGCCAAAGATACTAGTTCATGTACGAAAGGTACGCAATAAAGAAAAACATGAAAACGGCCATTCCACACGCGTCGTTCTTCGTGAAACACTATCTTAAAACTGTGTTCAAAAATCTACCTGGAATAGAGCAACGTACAATTGACCAATCAGAACAAAAGTAGCAAAAGTTCGTGATTGGTTGATCAAAAGCTTCTCTAAAAGATGGATAGATTTACGAACACAAGTAAAAGGCGGTATTTTTTGCAAAAATTACAAATATGTCAATTGATGAATATATTTCTGCAATAAATTTCTTATTAAGAAATGATTACAAAATTAACAATTAAATTACAAAATAAAGTTTTATGATCTTATAATAAATACAACTAAATTACTTTTCAAATATTACATGAATTTGTTTAATAAATTGGAATATATGAGAAATTATAATTTATAAATTTTTACGTTAATAAAAAAACGTTTGTTTCAAAATATGGAACAGTCTGTGCTCTTAATATACTATTAATGACAAAATAATAAAAAGAAATTATTTAGTCTACTATATACTTAGACTACATATAAAAATTATAATAATTAATTATGCATAAATTTCTATATGTAACATTAGAGAAAGATATAAATTTCAATGTTTTTTATATCAAAAATAACAAAACAAGTTTAATTTAAGATATAGAATTTTGTGAAACTATTAATTAATATATCTTTTTCTAAATTAATTTCTTTTTTCACATGTATATTTTTTATTTTCGATATATATATATAGAGCACTTATACATATGTTTCCTGTATATTCTAAGTATACAGTTATTATAATATATTTCGCAGCATAATCCGCAACAGATTTCTTGTCATATATATTTTAATGAGCGGCATTGTTGCGTCGTCCGCGTCTCTTGCGACTACCACCAGCAGGACGATTCGATGACGAAGCCCATTGCTCGTAAAAGCGTTCGGCCTCCAGCCATTCCTGATACTTGTACCACCATTCTTCCCACTTGATATAATCATCAAGGGTGAGGTCGCGTAAATAACCTCTTGCTTTGTAGTAGTCGTAACGGACGCGGACGTCGTCCCAGCCTTCGAAACCTCTCGGTCCTTGCGCTAGAAGCGACTCGGGATAATGTCCAGGTGGTGGCGAATCGTATCCTAGACGTGCGATTCTTTCTTCGCCTTCTATAACGACCTTCATCGCGTTCTCGCCATCTTTTGTGATACGCATATTTTCCATATCCCTACGATCCACGCTCCACTGTGCCATTTTACCAAATCTATATAGAAAAGTTCATCATTATTTATTTAATCTTGATAAAATTAAAGACATAATGTACTGTTTAATCGAGTTTTATGTTGGCGTTCTACATTAAATAATAAGTTTCACGAAATACCGTTCAGATAATGTCATTCTCGGCGGCCCAACATGGGATGTAGTGGAGGAACTGTCACTATCGTCACTAGGCGAGGATTCCGGTGGAGGTCGCATCATTTGTGGTGCTCCATGACTCGTATGTGTTTTTTCCACTTTAACTGCCTTACGCATCTGCACAATTTCAATACAAACATTCCTAATATTGTATATAATGTTTAAAGAAATATCACTGTATATGTTTCATATATTAATATATTAAAAAAATAAACAAATACAAAAATAGAAAACTGACCATAATATAATTTTTCATTTATTCTATAACGTATACTATCATGTATATTTGTATATAATATAAAATGTGTCTACGCGAAAATTTCCTTCGTAGAATTTGTTTATTTTTCCCAAAAGTCTTCTTCGAGAAAGAAAAAAATAAACGATCGTTTTACCAATGGGATGGGATCTGGTACTCGCGGGTCCTCCGGCAATCTGCTGTGGTGTTTCTCTTTGCGGCGAATCTTGGCCTCTTTCTCTTTGAGAGTCTTGTAATCTTTCTGATGACGCGGCGGCGGTTGCGGCGCCGGAGGCGGCGTTCGCGGACGCGGAAGCGGCGGCGATCGCGGTCTGCCACGCGGGGCAAGGCTCGCGAACTGGAAGCGACCACTTCCTTAGGGTGCGTCCTGGTCCGTACCGGCGTGATCGATCGCGAACGCGAGCGGGACGGCGGCGCGACGCGTCGCCGTTCTTTCGGCGAGCAAACGGAACACGATCTATCGGAGCACGTGCTGCCCGTGCTGGGGCTACGAGCGGCCGGTTGTCTGCCCCTATTGCTGTGCTCGCGGGAGGTGTTACGCTCGCGCGGCGATCGCGGACTCCTCGCTCGAGGACTACGCGGTCGCGGACTGTGAGGACTGCGAGGTCGAGGGCTTCTCGGGCTCCTGGGATGGCCTCCTCTGCTGGGTTCACCGCTGCCACCGTGCCGCCGACATACAGCTCCTTGTATCCGCTGTGACGCCATCTGTTAGGATCCCGTTCTTCCGCCTCCAGCAGCTTCTTGTTCCAGTAGCTTGACTGCGACTCGCGCGCTTTCCGCATCACATTGTCTATCTCTTTTCGCTTGCTAGAACTCTCGCCGTGTGGTCTGGGTTGTGATACACTCGTGTCCATCCGCAGTCTGCTGGAGCTGCTACCGCTGCCGCTGCCACCTCTTCTTCTGTCATAATCTCGAGACGACATTTCTAATAACAGAAATTTTATTGTTCCATTTCAGTTCATGTTAACTTATTTTATGCATGATCAAAATAAGCATTCTATAAGATATATGTAAATACATTTCTCGATACAGTATTTGACAATTTATCTTAAAATAGATGCAAGTAATAACAATATGAGAGATGGAGAAATATGTCTTTAGATATGTGCTATAAAATACTTGTATAATTCTCTCAGTGTATTCTTTCATTTCTATAAGGGAATTAATTTTGATCTTTTTCTCAGACGATAGGCAATTAATCGTATAATTATAGAAGCAAAAGAAAATTGAAAGGAATATATTCCAAGTACTTTGTAGCACATCCATTGTACATTACATACTATATCATATTATTGAATCTAATCAAACAAAACTGTTGTAAACAAAAATTTACCTTATAATAAAAATGCAGAAGCTGGAAGACTAAAGGTACAGCGAAGAATATCTAACAAATCCAGATATAGGCAGGTATCAATAATGTAAATCCTCCATAGAATAACCGTGAGGATGCTGCAACCATAAGGCTAATTCGCCGACCGCCGTTGGAAGTAGCAGAAGCACTCGTCTCCTTAGAATCGACTGGCCTAAGTGAAAAATTCTACATGTCACAAATCTGCAGTACAAGCGTTGAGTCGAGTTGAGAGAAGAAGATGTTAAAAGGTTAGCGTTCTCTAATGTGCATGTTTTTTTGCGGGGAATCTTTTGTTCTCACGTGAATCTCCTATTCTTTTTTCCTCTCTACAGTTCAGTTCATATATGTGTATACAATATATATATATTATATATATATATAGTAAACGTAATGCGTCTCCGCTGCAAGGCGGACACATCGCAGCGGACAATGCGATGCCTTACCATCGGCCACTCACCGCACGTCCAGGACAGAGAGAGATCCATGCGTGATCGCGCGAATCAAATTCCGGGACGCGGAGGTTCCCGGAAGGAGCTCGGGATCGATTATCGCGCGCGCGCGAAGACGAGAGATCATCGATCGGAGAGCCTGGAGGAGGGAACGGACCGAGAGGCGTCGCGATCGATCGCGATCTTCCGCGAAAACGCGGTCCTCCTCCGGCTCGAGTGACGTCAACGAGAGACTCTCGCGCGGCGCGAATTTGACAGATGTCAAACGTCAAACGCCTCCGCGGCTGACGACAGCCGAAGAGCCCGGTGGTCACTCGCGACGCGAAATTCTACCATCTTATCTCTTCTACGGACATCTACCCCTATTCAGGGGTAGATCATCACATCACTTTTTTTCAACTGCGTGGAAACGACGCCACACAGTTTTTCCCGCGTTACGTCAAAGCTCCCTCGCGGGGGTCTTTGAAACCCGCGTGAACGACACCGAGGAAGGGGGTGGTAGGAGGGGACTGTCACCCTCGGGGGTAGACACCACGACAAAATCGCGCCCGTCGTGGAGTGCTTCGAGAGAGAACCGCCCGAGGAGAGAGAGCAGTAACCGGCATGAAACGCGTTTCGTAAAAAGCGAATTTCTTCCATTCTCGCTCTTTCTCTCTCTCTCTCTCGTGCGTGTCCTCACTCTCTCTCTCTTTCTTTCTTTCTTTCTCTCCTGTCGCCGTTTGCTGCATACACACATTCGCGCACCAGATTCCTCCCGCTCTTTCTCTTTCAAGCAACGACTCTCTTACTTAACGCCGCCGAATTCACAGAATTGTTCGGCGGATTCGCGAATTTTTGCGCGCGCGACACCGAAAAAAATCGATCGCCCGTCTAGCAAGGCCGCTAGGGCGACGGCGACTCGGGTCGACTCCGAGATTCGACTCGAATAATATTTCCTTTTCCCTTTCTCTCTCGCCGGAAGCCCGCGTGTACCGCGGGACGAAACGGACACTCACTTTTTCTTAACGCGACGACCCGATAACTTGCATTTTCTGGCACGTGTTCCCGGCGAATTCGTTCTCGCGCAACGTCGAATATGTTCACAATGGACTTACTTGGGGGAGACGGTTTCTCTCCCTCGTCCCGAGGAGCCCAACCATCGATCGCGAACATCGATATAGATGGGCGAACTCGAACTTCGTACGCTGAACCACGATTGGTGGAGTCATTTTCGATCGGAATGACGTAGCGCTTGATCGATCAATCAGAGAGCGAGAAAATTTATACTCCTTCCAGCCCGATTAATGTAGTTATTCTCTCTCGCGAAATGAGTGATTCGTGGCAGATCACGTGACTTGTATGAATGTACAACGTACAACGTATGTAAATATTTATTTTACTGTTTGTTTCACTTATTTCGTTCATTTATACTATATTTATATCGAGCATCGGGAACCGAAAGATTGGAAAGATGGTGATTGCTATCGGATTCGAAGGGAGCGCGAATAAGCTGGGGATAGGAATAATTTGTGATCAAAAAGTATTGTCGAACGTGCGACATACCTACGTCACGCCACCAGGAGAAGGTATAACTCCAAAGTAATATCTTGTAAAAAAAAATTAGTTATATAAATAGATACATGACTTCAAAAAATCTTTTAGGCATTAATTTATTGATTTAACAGTTTAAAACTTTCTTGATGAATTTCGAACCTACTTTAACTGATCTTTTTACTATTTATTATTTAATAGGAGTTTATAGAAATATTTTATTGAAGTGTTAAAATATTTGTACAAAACTTATGCATAAAATAATAAATAAAAATTCTTTTTTAAAATGTTGCTTAAACATTAAGTGGATTTAATATTTATAAAGATTCTATATGAACAATTCTAATACCAATGTATTAATGTATAATTTAGATATATTTTTTTATCTCTAGGTTTCTTACCTCGAGAAACAGCACAACATCATAGAAAACACATACTAGATGTTTTGCAAAAATCCTTGGATGAAGCAAAGATTAGCGTGAAGGATGTTGATGTTGTCTGCTACACAAAAGGACCTGGAATGGGAGCGCCACTGACTGTCGCTGCTTTAGTAGCTAGAACTGTTGCTCAGTTATACAATAAACCTATAGTTGCAGTCAATCATTGTATTGGTCATATAGAGATGGGACGTTTGATTACTGGCAGTGAAAATCCTACTGTTTTATATGTTTCTGGTGGGAACACTCAAATTATTGCATATTCTCGACAAAGATATCGTATTTTTGGAGAGACAATTGACATAGCGGTAGGAAATTGTTTGGACAGATTTGCCAGGCTGCTTAAACTGTCAAATGATCCCAGTCCTGGGTACAATATAGAACAGTTAGCCAAAAAGTAAGCAAATTTTTATATCTGATTAATAATCTACTAGGATTTCATCTTGAAATCCTTGACAAATTTAAACATTCAAGGTCAGTTATGGGATCTTGAATCTTGTATGCTGGATTCAATTAAAATTTTATGAATGCAAAAAGGGGTGAAAAACTGGCACCGTTACCATACGTTGTAAAAGGAATGGATGTATCATTTTCCGGTATCTTAAGCCACATAGAGGAACATTGCTCCAAATGGCTCGATACAAAGGAATTTACTCCTGAGGATTTATGTTTTTCCTTGCAAGAAACTGTGTTTGCCATGCTCATCGAAATTACAGGTAAGCATTCATTGGATGATTTTGTCTTTTTCCTGTCTACTTAACGTTGAATTATGTTACAGAACGCGCGATGGCTCACGTGAGATCGAACGAGGTGTTGATCGTGGGTGGCGTGGGATGCAATGAGAGACTGCAGGAAATGATGAGCGTCATGTGTAAAGAAAGGAATGCAACTCTTTACGCGACGGATGAGCGATTCTGCATAGATAACGGCGTTATGATTGCAGTCGCTGGATTGCTCCAATACAAATGCGAGGGCGGTACTCCTTGGACACAAACTACTTGCGTTCAGAGATATCGAACGGACGATGTACATGTCTCCTGGAGAGAATAAAATAATATTTTCAAGTAAGTTTTTATTTTGAAATATATTTAAACCACCTTATCTATCCCAATACAAAATACATTTAAGAATTTAGATTGTTTCAGTTTTTACATTTGAGTGCATTTTATTTTAATCCTAATACTAAGATCCTAATAAATAGTAATGAAATTATTCTATAATAGAATAATAGTTTTGTTTGGGATATTTATTATCAGATTGTATATAAAATATTTATGTATCTATCAATTTGATTGAAACTTTTTTATTCTTACTAATTATTTAACAGATTAAATGCCGAGTAAATTTTGCATATCTTATCATTTATGCCAAAAATTTTTATTATTGAAAATTTTTGGCATAAATAAAATTTATAAAATATATGATTGAATACATTCAATCATTGTAGTGCATTTATTTCATCTGTGATCTTCATGGCATTAATACATATTGTAATATTTTTCAAAAGTTTAAAAGTATTGTAATTTATTTGTTGCAATTATGAAATTAATTTGAATACCTTGGTCATTTGTAATTTCTACAGCATTCAATGTTGTAAAAAGTAAGAGAATAACGATCCTAAACAAATTATCAAAGATACTTAGAAGCTTTCTATTAAAATGTCGAACAAATTAAAAATGTTTCAAGTCTAAGAACTAATTTAAAGAATAATAATATTTTTTTCTACATTGATAGAGAATAAATTCCTATCAATTTACTTTTTACTTTAATAAGGAAGATATATGTGAAATTAGTTTTTCAATGGTTTATAATAAATGTTAGATGTCATATATATATATATATATATATATATATATAGACATTTAAATCTACCTACAATGAAATTCGCAAGTGATTATGCAAGGTAACAAAAATGCCATTAAGAATCGATCACTGTATATTATTCGCGACGACCTCCATGTTGTCTCTAAAATACCATCTCTCGGTGATGCGTCCGTGTGGGCAACAACCAGCCACATTATCTGGAAATGTAGTAACCTGATTTCGTGACTAGCTGGATAGATTTCCTGTCGATCAGACAACGATTTTCTTCGACTATTGCAGCACAATTTCGGCCTTGCGCGCTTTTAAACTTCCTTCCGACCGATTCGATATTGACCTCGTTCAGATATGATATCGATCTGACTATTAACTACATGTGAAACGTTTCTTCGGCGCATATACGACGCTTTATCGATTCGCTTTTCACAAAGAACGTTGGTGATGCCGAGGCTCCTCCTGGCTTCGCGTCGAAAATTCCGACGATATTGCACGATACGAGATCGCGCAAGCCAAAAAAAAAAAGAAGGGTGGGTAGGGGAAAAAGAGGGATGAGACCATCGATCGGGCATGGTATTTTCTGTGGAACATGGTACAAATATGAATGATCGATGCAACTTTGACGAAACTATTACACATCATTATTAATATAATATTTAATTATATTAATCTTAATATATAAGAGATGTATTATAAAAGAATTTATAGGTACTTAAATATTTATCAAATGAAATTTCTCTCCCTCTCATTCCCTTCTCTCTCGTTTTCTCTCCTGACTTTTAATTTTACATCTTCTCAGTTTTTTATGACAACTAATTATTGAAAGTGAGAAAACAGTCTAATTTATTGGCATATAATAATTTATTCTACCCCACAAATTAATTTTGTATTATTATGTTGTAATTTTTTAAATGATTAGCAGGCGATAATTAATATCGAAAATATAATCCACTCGCGTGGTTGACGCTTATCACCCAAAAGCGTCCGCTGCTATACGTCCAAAGAGAGAGAGAGAAAGAGGAATCGCCCGCACTTTAAAAGCACCGCTTCGTCACTGTAGCAGGGTGCGGGGACGACGCGCAACTCGGGGCGCACAGGGTGGCTCGGGATAATCGCCAAGGCGCGCACCGCTGGCTCGCTTCCAAGTAGTGCCTCTGTCGGCGCCAACAGCAGTTACAGTGGCACAGAGACTGTATCGTCACTTCCAAACTATCAAAAGAGAGCGGCCGACAGCGGGCCAGTAGTAGTAGTAAAGACGTAATCGTGCGATTTTCGAGTTTCTCGCGCGGACAACTCTTATTCCCTCCCCCTTTTTTTTTAAATTTTTCTTCGTTGATTGCGGGACCAGGGGTAATCGAATCGCTTCGAAAGCTTAGAATCGTCTCCCATCAGTTGTCTATCCCCATCTGATTTTCTCGTCAGATTCATCCCGGCACGGGACGTCTCCTCCGCGGGAGACCATCGCGCGCACCCTCATATACCTTCCTTCGTACCCCCTCGACCGTGCCACATTAGCGCATAATCGATAGACGGGGCGTCGATCGCAGCGCACCCGATGTGGAACAAGTGGTAGTGCCAGTGCGGTCGTCGCCGTCGTCGCCGCCGTCGTCGTCGTCGTCGTCGTCGTCGTCGTCGTCGTCGTCGTCGTCGTCGTCGTCGTCGCCGTCGCCGTCGCCGTCGCCGTCGCCGTCGTCACCGTCATCGTCACCGTTCGTCATCGTTATTGCCGAAGCGAATACCACCGAGGAGGACGGATTTTGCCGGGTGACGCGCAATGAAGATGCGACCTTTCAACGTGACACGCAACGACGCGCCGTTTCCTCGGCCGAGCGGCAATCATGTTTAAAGCGGAAGCAAGAGAGAAGTGAGTATAACACCGAGGAGATTATCGCGCGAAGACTCGAACGCTGCTTTAGTTGCGACTGTTAGCCCGCCTCTCGTCTATTTCCGTATAGTAGCTGCCGCGCGACGTGCACCACCACTCGGTACCACTCGTCGCCGTCGTCGTCGTCAACAAGAATGTTCCCGGACCGCGAGACCTAGATAGCACGAGATTGTCCCCGTACATACGTTGTTCGCGGTCTCAGCTGGTCGCCCTTGGATCTGTCAAGCCGCGCGTAGTATAGTGCGGTTTGAGCGAGCCCCTTCAAGCTCGAGATCCGCTTGTAATCCGGGTCAGTAATTCGCTTCCTGTTTTCTCCTTTTAATCCTCGAACAAATGGAGAGACTTTTCATTAATTCGGGATTAGCGTTAATTTCCAGATGATTTAGGGCGGACTTGTTCGTGGAAAATAATATTTTTTAAAGTAGCTTTTCACAGTGCTTTGTTGCTCCGATATATTTTAATAATTGATGAATTTTTTTCTGTGGAAAGAGTAGTTTAAACTTGATTTTATATTAAGTAAAATATGTTTTTGTGCAATTTTCAGCAACAAATTAGACTTTTTATTATATACTGTGGAAGTGTCTAAAAAATAATTAACAATATAAAAGAAAAGAAATATTTATAAAAAATGGAAGCTTTTAATGGCTCAAGAAATGTCAAAACAGGATTAAAATTTTATTATACAGGGCTTGTGAAAAGTGGAAACCCCTAAATAATTTTTGTAAAAATGAAAATATCAAAAAACGGTAAAACACGTATTTTGATTTTTCAAAAAAGCTACCATATGACATGAATACTGATCATCCCCCATCTCTTGGTACACGGGGGTAAAAGGGGGGTTGAAAATTTTAAATTGGACTAAGGGTCGAGTGGGGCTCAGTCATAGCGACTTAAAATTTTAAAGGTGTGTTTGTTATGAAAAGACCTTTCAAATGAGCTCCCACTCGACCCTTAGTCCAATATAAAATTTTCAACCCCCCTTTTACCCCTGCGTACCAGGGGGTGGCGGATGATCGGTATCCATAGGGTAGCTTTTTTGAAAATCAAAATACGTGTTTTATGATATTTTTTGATATTTTCATTTTGATATTTTCATTTTTACAACAATTATTTAGGGGTTTCCATACTTTTCACAAATCCTGTATATATTTTATATGATAAAGTTAATAAGCCGTTTAATTTTGATGTTACGGAAAAAATTGCAACATGATTTTAGAATAAGTATACTGTGGTATTATGTCGGGTTTTTTGTTAAAATAACATGTTCGATACCTATCGTTCAGGTAAAGGCAATTCAGTGTTGTCCCTTACTACTGTCTGACAGACTCAGTCGTTATTCTACTGCCGCTCGTAAACTACTCTGCATCTAGCCTGGAGGTAAACTCGACGCTCGTAAAGTAAACGTATCTTTTTCTCTCAGTCTGATAGCGTCTTTCGAAAATATACACTGCGGACAAATATTCGTATTCTGTTTTTTTCCAACAAGCGCTAGTAAATCATCCTCGCAAACTATCAACGTTGCATTGATTCGACGCCAAGAAGTTGAAATGACGCAACCGTGATGCAACCGATCGTTGCACTTGCCATTGCATTTTTCAAATTCTCTCTTTGTGATCTCTCTGATATTTTAAAAGTTGCGAAACGGAGAATATCTTCGAGATATTCACGAAACATTTTTAAAATGTTCGGAATATCATGCAAACGCTTCCTTGCAATATGATTCCGCTTATCGGAAAAGCTCTTTTCATATTCTTACATTATTCTTGTTTTTTCGAAGAACATTTGCATACGTCGAAGACATCTTCTGAAAGGAAAAAATATGTTAGAGTTTTATCTGAGCACATTTTTAAAATACATATTTGCAGAAAGAGAGAGATAGAGTCTTTGTTTTCTGGAAAAATATTATTCATTAAACATTCTTGTTTAATCACTTAAGGCTAAGAAAAACGAACAAAAAAATAATATTGAGAAATAGCAATCAATAATCGCGACGAATAAAAGCGTAAGGTAAATAAAGGGTCGACAGAGAAGAATTTTTTGAAATATCAATCTTTAAGCTGCCATGAGAAATTTAATCGCGTGTCACACAATCGCCCCATAATGATGTGATTCACTGATAAGTGACAAATTTTGCGAGTAATTGTTTTAAATATATTTCTTAACGCAAATATCCCTCGTCGTTTCGTATAATACTCTTTATTTGAGATCTTGCCTCTATTCTGTTAAGAATTGAGAATTTTTCTTTTGGATCTTCTACAATCTTCTCACAAATTTAAGATGTGTCAAATTTAAGATGTATCAAGCAATCGCATTATCATTAATAGATAATAAATTTTATCTGTGTGCTTGCGTGATAAAGATATAGATCATATCGCGAATTTATTCACAAGTTATATCTGTTTATATGTCAACAATCGTCAAGGCGATTACTATTACTAAATTCGAATATCTGAAATGTCTCAGTGAAATATCTTATTGTCAGAATATTTGGTTGTACAAGGAATTTAATTTAATGATTTTTAATGATTTTTCTTGGCCTTGTTCTTATCTATATGTTCTTCCAAGACGTTACTGTCATTTGCCTGAATCAAGATTCTCGTTCGCAAAAATAAATCTCATAAAAAAATTGATTTATAATACTAATACACAAAGATTATCTACAAATCTGAATAGATATGTCTATGATAATTATACTTACATACACAGCGCAATCATTTATATAGAGAAATTAATTATATATAATTATTTTCAAGCGAGAATCCAAAATTAAGCATGGGAGAATTTATGTTGGAGGCATTCGTGACTCTTCGCAGTGCCACGTTTTGCTCTGGACCGAAAAGGTCAAAGATCAATAGTTATTCTTCGCGCAAATGTCTTCGGATCAAGTCCGGGAAAGACGGATGTTTCACGAAATGTGCGCACAGAAGCGAAAATTTTCCTGTATATATAGACAACCCCATATCAGAATGTCACTTTTTCTCCTCTTCGGAGGTCAGGCCAGGTGTTACATTCCCAATATGCTGGCTAAAGGTAGGAAAAGGGAGAGAAAGATGGGGAAGAAAGATCGATTCTTATTTCGTCGCTTCCTATACGTGTATATATATAGCTAAAACGAAAAGCTCACTCTCTTCGAGAAATATCCCTTGGGAATGCCGGGTTCATGTGTACTAAAACAAGTATATATGCGTTTTAGCAGTCGTATGTATTATATATTTGTGCACACGTGCACTTTGCATTTGATGGAGTTTATTGATTCTTGAATTATAATTTATTATTATTTTGATGTACTGTTATTTAACATTTTAGGAGAAGTGAGCGCTTAATAAATAATATTTCTTTCTCTGTTTCTGCCTCTCTGTTCTGTATTTTATTTTTCTCTCTCATAGCATTCGTTATTTTAGGCGGGTCACTTGTATTTCTGTATATATGTATTGCGATATATGTGTGTTTTGTGTACGTAGAATCTACTCAAGATACATTTTTCAAGAAAAGAATTTTTTCTGTTCCTCAGGGGACAGGAAAAAAGAAAGGAAGAAAATTAGTTTGAATTTTATAGACAGACTTTGATTGCTTATACTAAGCGAATCTCTGCGAGTACCCTTACGGATACGGTTGTAATGCTTTTAATAAAGTTACGATTTTGTGGGGGCCATGTGGTGAATTATATCGATCATTTCTTCGAGAGATGTTTGCTTTCAAAGAAACGCGCAGAAACTAGGATTTTAAACGGTTCCTTTTTCGGATTTATTATTACGTGAGATCTTGATATATTTCTTTCATTATAATGCAATGAAATTTATAATTAGTTAATGCACAGCTACTCTTAGTTTAACACTTTAATATTCCATGGAGGAATAAAAAAACAAATTGTCATATAATAGTCGTATTTTTTTCATTTGCGTGTAATCAAAATAATTGGAAAATTTTCAAATTTAAGATATATTTAATATTCAATTATCTACAACTTAATGGCCAATGTAAATCAATTTGAAAAAAGATGGCAATGATAAATTTAGGATGAAATAAGTTTAATAAAAATGACATTTTATAAACTGTTTCATCGAGTAGTTTGCTTGCCTTAGGAAACAACATGCTGCTTAAATACAAATATTTGAAACAAATTAAAAATGGCATTTTTCAAAATTTTCAACAGAGTTGTGTATCATGTAACATGAAATAAAAATTTCTTAAACTATGATGCATTGACGTGAAATGGTTTTGATTATTTTTCAGATTATGATACGGCAGAGTCTGTCGACCGAGTCGACGGAAGGGGCTGGACCGCTTTACGGATGAAGCTGAAGAGGAACACCGTGGACGAGGAGGAGGCGGACGAAGAAGAAGAAGACGACGAAGAAGAAAAAGAAGAAGACAAGAGAGAAAACGCCGCTTGTCGAATATCGGAGGACAAGCAAAGGCGAGAGCATCGGCGTCGAGAGCAACGCGAAAGATAATCGCCTTGCGATCGCGCTGGTGGCCGACGACTTGAATCCGCCGTCGCTCGGCGCGTCCGATGCTGAACGAGAGACGGCTCGAGGACAACACACTGGCGGACGGGGAACGTAATGGTAGCGCCGTGGTCACCGGCCCGGCGCTCTCATCGTCGTCGCCGTCGTGTACGGTGCCCTACATCAGCACCGACCAGGGCTACGTGTTCGAGGGTGGCGGCACGACGACGTTGCAGCAGCCCGGTGCAGCCGGTCGCGGGAACACCGACTGCACCGGTGGCGGAGGAGGTCTCGGGTTCGGCGTGTCGACAGCAGGAGCTAGATCTGGGTTGGGTGGCGGAATAGGAGGATTCGGTGGAGTTGGTGCAGCTGGAATAATGGGTGGTGGAGGAGGAAGTGTTGGAGGAAGTATGAACAAGGAAGTACGTTACGCTCCGTTTACGTCGTCCATAGGACCGGTCGGTACCATGGTACCTAACGTAAACCTGCCGTCTCTACCGCCACCGCCACCGCCGCCGCCGCCGCCGCCGCCACCGCCGCCGCCGCCCCTGCCGCTGCAGATGCAGCAGCAACGTGCCTTCTCGAGGTCGATGACGTCCCTGCCGCCGGAGCCGTTCATGATCATGCGTTCGAAGGCGCTGAACCGGCGTGTCTCGATCAACGTCGGCGGCGTGAAGCACGAGGTGCTCTGGCGCACCCTCGAGCGATTGCCGCACACGCGTCTAGGCCGGCTACGGGACTGCAACACCCACGAGGCGATCACCGAGCTATGCGACGATTATTCCCTCATCGACAACGAGTACTTCTTTGATCGGCATCCCAAGTCTTTCAGCTCGATTCTCAATTTCTATCGAACCGGCAAGCTCCACCTCGTAGACGAGATGTGCGTCTTGGCGTTCAGCGACGATCTCGCCTACTGGGGCGTCGACGAGCTCTATCTCGAGAGCTGTTGCCAGCACAAGTATCATCAACGTAAGGAGCACGTGCATGAGGAGATGCGCAAAGAGGCGGAGTCGCTCCGGCAGCGCGAGGAAGAGGAATTCGGCGACGGAAAGTGTGCCCAATATCAGAAGTGGCTGTGGGATCTTCTCGAGAAACCAACCACGTCCATCGCGGCAAGGGTAAGTCGCATTTCAACCAAATTACAACAGCGAAACGCGCAGAGAATCGTGAAACGTCGCGCATCGTTGTCACGTGTAACGAGTACTATCTATATACCTATGTATGTAGTTGCATCCCCGATATTTTCGAGAACATGTTTCAAACATATTGGTAAATCATTTTCATAGCTTTTATGTTAACAGAATTTTTTAAAAATATTTTGCAATTTAATCCCTTTAATTAATTAATATTTAATAACAATTAATCTCCATTCTACAGAATAATTTAGTAAGAAAAAGAACACAAATCAGCTTCAAGTTATTGAGGAAACCATTGTTGATCTTCAATTTTAATGGAACAATTTGTAGACTCGTCATTCATTATTGAGAAATTGTTGAATTTGAGCCAGGAAGTTAAATTGTCACAACAAGGGCATCAATCAACACCGATCAATTTAATCTATTTTAGATTACCTAACCGTCTAAAATGTTTATAGCACGAGGAGCTTGTGACAATTGAAAACATATTAGAGTTAACTGTACATGTATGAGGATTCAAGAGTTTGGTAAGTGATCTTTAATAAGGTCACTGCTTTCAGGACATACTTTATTGTCATGTTTTCGTGCTGCTTTCTGGCTCGTTCTCATAGCTGCGTTCTATCTACGACGTTGGGAAGTTACCAAAATGAAATTGATCACATCTGTTTGATACTCGTACACAATATAGTTTTTCCGGTTGTGATTATGTGTGTATCGACAATCTCAAGAAATTCACTTACGGTCAGCCAAGTTGCACCAAAAATTGTATTGCCAGTGATATGTGACATGTGCTTATTTCAAGTAAAAATCTGTTTTTTTTTTTAATATTTTAAGTATTTCACTTATAATCAATATTTATATATGAAATGTACATGTATGCATATGGCTTTGTGTTGCTTTTTTCTATTTATATTTATAATGTGTTTTATATTGTGTATTTTTTTAATATGTTATTTGGATTTTTGTAATATATATGAAATGCATGCATTTTTATCATGCAAAAAACTGCATTCACAAACGATAAGTTCAGTAAATAATTATTCAGTAAATTTTTTATTAGAAAAAGAAATAAAATATTTAATTTCGGGTTTTTCGAAGACTAAATATTTAAGATATACTCGTCTGAATATTCTTTTTAAAACAAAAACCGCCAATTCCATTGTATATATATATATATATATATATATATATGTTTTTGTTTTAAAAAGAATATTCAGACGAGTATATCTTAAATATTTAGTCTTCGAAAAACCCGAAATTAAATAATCTCTATATATAGTGATTTTATGTAATCTAAAGTAATCAAGAGAAGAGTCTTACTTTTTGTTAAAATTATATTAGATAAAATAATCAAATTTGTTATTGTAATGACTCTTAGTATTATACTTAGTATTAAAATTCAATTTGCTATTAGTGTAATACACTATACTACGCAGGAAAAAGGGAGAATTGAACTAATCGACGTCATAACCGATTTTCTCGTGATCATTAAATTTTGCTTTAACAAACTCACGATAGCGTGACCTTCTCGTTACGGCAAACGATTCGCGACGTTTCCGATCATTATATTAAATAAAACTTTCCTTACGTCCGTCTCGCCAAGAATTGCGCGTGGGCGATTATTGTCGCAATCTCCTCGTTCAATCGGACCCTCATATCAGATCTATATTTTTTTACGCGAGTATCGTAAAAAATAACGATATTAACAGGGATCGATAAAGTTATCGTATGTAGCACGTAGATACTTTTGCGCAGATTCGAAATGCTTTAGATACCAATCGATTTTTATGAATTTCTGTAATTATGAAATACCTGAACTCTTTTTCGCTTATTGCAAACATTTCGATGACTTTCACATTTGTCTTAATCCACTTAACGATATATCCACACTTGCAGTTCTTTGCCGGAGCCTTAATTCGAGCAAAGGTATTATTAAATCGATATTACAGCATCGATCCAACGTAGCTCGTATTATATAGGCAAACAGATTAGAAAGAAGATATGACTCCAAATTTATGTCGACGTCTTCGTTAGATCATTTCGCAAGACACGCTCGATCGGCAGATCGCAGTTTCGATTTCGCCGACATTCTGAGATATTCCTATATTTTTCCTCGAAAATAAGAAGCATCGTAATAAAAATTGTGGATTATTTAATGTCATAACTTTATTATAATTGAATAATTATTAAAATCATTTTCTAAAACATTAAAACAATGTAAAAGACAAACAAATTTTATAATTTATTCACTCTTCTTTTTTTGAGATATATATCATACTTTATACAATTAATATTTAAAAAGTCAATCGAATTGAAAACTTATCTTTTATTACACTACGAGTACTAATAATCTTTTCGATTACATCATTTTTGTTAATAAAAATGAATAGAAAAATAAATCATGAGTTATTACGAGAATGTCGGTGAAAGGATGATAAAGTAATTTAAAATGTTTTAATAATTTCGAAATCGAATTCGCGTGAGTCGATTGAGCGTAACTGGCATAAATTCATAAATCAGATCGTAATTTTAGATCATTTTTCATCTTGACATTAGTTTCGGGGTACTGATTAACGTCATTAGATAGCGTTGTACTTTGGCATTAACACATCTAGACAAACGTCAAATATAAAATGTCTGCTCTTATCTTTTAGTGTATGAGTAAGTATGTGCATACGATACCGTAGATTTTGGCAAATAATTTCCTGATACTGATGTCGATTTCTGTAATGTATATTTTATTTCTAGGTGGTGTTGTGTCCAACATATAATGTTAATCTGTCTTTCTCTCTTTTCCCTCTCTAATTGCAATCCAGCTTTTAATCTATATACTATAATTTAATCTGTCTTATTATTCCAAGCATAATCGACATGCCGTGTAATCGGCCACCGATGATAATGGGAGTGTTTTATACGCGATTACCAGGTATCACGTTGATTCTTTCTCGACACCGCTCCCTAAGCGTTTAATAGCTCCGCTACCAGCGATTTCAATTCGACACCACAATCATATGTATATGTATATACGCACGCGTGTCTTATGTGCACTTATATGAATACATAATCTGTTTATATAATTTACTTATATATGATACATACAAGTTCATACGATAGGCAAATTTATTTATCGATATATAAAACTTGTATACAGGGTGTGCCAGATTTGCAGCAATTTTCCTTTTAATAGGATATTTTAATAAGCAAAGTAAGAAAAAATAATATTTAAAAAAAATAAAAATTGCAATATGTTGTAAGTTTCTAAAAGTTTTTTTATATTTCAAACTTATTTACTTTACTCTTTTAAAGAAGATTAAAGGATGTACGTTTTAAGAACATAGGTAATAATCTTTATCCTTTCAGTTAATCTCGAATAAATTTTTTCAAAAAAAATTAATTTGAGTTTTATTATTTGTTATAAAATTTAAAGTTGCAAATTGGAAAAAGCAGTAGATTGTAGTTTTTTCTAAATTTTACATATAAACATTAATTTTAGATTTGTGAAAGAGTAGATAACAAGTGATCTGAGACACCCAGTATAATAATTATTAATGAGTACTACGTATTAAGTGTGATATAACTAAAGAGATATATCATATTGTATTATTAATGCCAACTCGTTCCTATGTCGAGTCCGATGTCGATACTCGTGTGTCACATACTTTACGCCAGTATGACAAATATGAATTAAACAGCGTATCCTAGAATTACGTACTTTTCCTATGCTAGTTGAACATTTTAGATACGTAGAACCTATTTAAAGACGTACCACTTTAGATACGTATCATTTAGATACGTACCATTTTAGATACGTAAAAAATGTCGTATATTTCAATAATCGAAAGATTTGTTATGCAAATAGACAACAAAATCTTTTTTTTTAAATTGTATATACGTTGATCTTATTAAATACAAAATTTTAACTTGTTTAATCTTCATTACGAAGACAATTTAATACGGAATTCCAAATTTTCTTTTCCTTTAATTTCATACAAACAAGCTTGAAATATCTATAGTTGAGAAATAAAGTGAGCTCGACACATCGTGTGATATATTAACTTAAATTACAGTTGTAACACGTGCTGAGATGGCGTAAAGACCAAGACCCTGAGCTCCACTGAGAATTGATCGCGGACTCGACAATCAATCTCACTGTTCACGAAAGAATCTTCTTGATCCAGTAACAAGCAACACCTTATCTCACGTATATACTTGACACACCACAAACAATACACATTGCACACACTGTTGCTCCGAGATGAGATGTTTTGTGCGGGGTTATCACGTTGCACCTGTTTCCTCTTAAAAAAAAAAAAAAAAATACGATAAAGAATATTTCCCATAAAATTCCTCCACCTCTTTCTCTCCAAAATATACATCCGTACTTTTCCAAGATCATCCCCTCGAGTCGCCCGAACCGATCGATGTTGGCATCCCGACATCTTGGAGTAGCTCCCGTATCACTGATTTCTATTGCCCTTATCTCGCTGCACGCCCGTGTGATAACGGCTGCGGCACGGTGCATTAAATACGTTTCCTTTATAAGCCGATACACATACATCGCACCGCACTGGTGCACCAGTTTTATATCCGCCGAGACACGATTCTCTCTATATTCTCTCTCTTTCTCTCTCTCTCTCTCTCTTCTCTCTCGGGACCCTTTCTCTCGTCTTTCTCGTCTTCAAACGTGCTCCCTTTAACGGGCTTATCAATATTACAGAAATTATTGATCCGCCGAGTATATTTAGAGTATGTAAGAGGTCATAACACTATAATACAATTGCCGACGAGTATACCCTTCAGCCGTGATTCGCTGGTCTCTTGAGAACATTATAAAATGTCGCGACAGTAATGTATAGTACTAATGCGCATTAGATTTGCGCGAATATGTCGTCGTGGACGTTTTAATCGTTACAAGTCGAGTAGATTAGATCGACTGGACGAACAAGCGACTGGCGAATAATAAACGGGAGTAGCAATGGAATAACGTTCGTTGTATCGATATTTGGAACTAGAGTAACGAATTTTGCAACCCGTAAAAATAATAAGATAAATCGTCTATTTGCAAAATTTTATCATTTATATTACTTGTAAAAATCTAGAAATATCTACCGTGTTAAGACAAATATTTGTGATTGTAAAATATATATTGGATTTCAAATTATTAAATTATTTTATTAAATGTAAATTCGTGAAGCCAAATTTATTAGATTTTAGATATATTGTACATAATATATATTTTTATGTATTAAATTTTATTAGATGTATATTATATACATATATTTATTTAAAGAATGTTTCATAAATTTTATTAATTTTATTAATTTTATGTACATATATGTAAATTAATTTTATGTGCATTGAATTAAGCTCAATTTTAATCAGATGCAAAATTGTTTGCCAAATATTTGGTAGCTTATTTGTGTTTCCAGATATTTATACAGATTTTCGCGTTACATTAAAGGATCACTGATTAATATGTCAAGATTTCCATTATTTTCTGCATGTGAGTGAAATAATGGCTGGAGCAATTATTTAATAATTAAAATAACAGCTGTCATATCAATTTCGCAACATTAAAGTGTTTTTGAAATAACTGATTAACATATATAATGTTTTCTAGATGAGTCGTTTATACATTAACAATTGTTCACGCATTTATTAAAATTATCTTACAATTAGTATTTTCCTGCATTTATTAGAGGCTCCATTTCTTTCAAATAACAGATCAAATCTCGTTCGCACAATAATTTCTAAACAGAGTGCATTATTAGAATTCACGCAATATCGCAATGTGTATGAACTCTTTATTTACAATTGCATGACTATATGATAATAACAGTATCAAAATACAGAATAATAAAATATTAATATAATAATAATATACATATACATAATATTATAATACTGATATTTTTTATCGCTCGGTATTTCGATACTTTTACTATACTATAGTCATGCAAAGAGGAATAAGTGACGAATGATCTTTGCAGAGATGATTTGCAAAGATCATTCTTTATACGGCTGAACGATATACTTGTCTGAGCAATAATTGTAACCACGTATCGCTGTAGGCTTAAACTTCTCGGAGGAGAGGGCCGCTGCACTTTAGCCTAAACGATATGTATGAACTTACACAATTTTTGTCCGCCTTTCTTGTTCCGCTTACTTTTCTCAATCTATCTCGGCTTCTTCTACCCATAAATGTTATAAATGAAAAAAAAGATGTAAAAAAAAAATAACTCGCACGAATTCGCTTTACCGCACAATACTATCGAATTCCGTTCCGCACACAGAATACACTGCACGCACTTGCTTAACACGATCCTGTCGTCACAGTACATATATACATGCACACACATATACGCATTTTATTGTACGTTCCTTTCGGAGGCATTGATTTTATAAACCAACATCTCTCTCATTCGAGATTTCCTAATTTATGTATGTTTAACTCTTTCGCGGTCATATGTTGAGACGAATGTCACAATCTTTTTCTGACACAATTCTTCATTTTCTTATTTTATTCGAAAGGTTCGATAAAAAAAAAATTATACTGTTTTTAAAAATTTTCATAAAGTTCCCCAAATAATAAGAACAACTTTAAATATGTCAGATAACATTAAAAAGTATATTTAACGATGATGATAATTATTGAAATCAATATTGGATCGCAAAGAGTTAAAATATGACAAATTGATTTTTTCTCCCTTTGCTGTTTTTTTTTTCTAATTTTTGCTTACGAGACAGTACATTCGGAGCAAATCTGTAAAACGAATTAAATTCTTTTCTCATTGACAAAAGTAATATGATTTTTCGGTATGAACTATAAATATAAATATAGAGAAAATTTATATTTTTATATAAATAACTATAAAAAATATATAAAAGAATTTTCATAAAAATTTATTACATAAGAATATATACGACATTTTCATATTTTTATAAAGTGATTGCTGTTGCTTCTGACCTGCTTTTGTGAGTGATTTTAAATTTTTATTACGAGATTTTTTCCCTCAAGAATAAAATACTTCTTTCTTGTTAGATATGAATCTTTAAAATTTTGATCTAGTGCAGCGTCTTTAATATTATTATATTTTTATATCCATTATTCTATCTTTTAAGGAACGAATGTAGAGTCATACAAGTATCTGTACAAAACTAACCCCGATTTGTCCCCGAATGTACGCCTTCCCTTGTTTATTTGCGATTTAAATATTGCAAAGCAAGCTCCTTGTTATCTTGTGTTGAGTAATCTCATGATTTCGCTGAGTCCTCAAAGCGGCGAATTGATTTCACATTGTAGCGATTGCACTGGCGTGAAAGTAGAGTGGTAATAGGGAAGGGGGTGTGAAAAAAAGGGGGAAGAACGGGGGAAAACACGACTACGAGTTGGTGACTTCTCGGAAAAACAAGGGCATATATGGGGGAATTCAGGTCGGGCAAGGGAGCGGGGTTTTGAAGGGATGCATAGATGTATTTTTATACGCTGGCCGAACAATACAATGAAAAGTTGTGTGAGTCGAGCGACGTCGGGCAGACTGCGTTTAAACGACGAGGCCCGATAATGCAGCTGTGTTACAAGTTATACATACTTTTACGATCCATTCCCTGTTACCAAATCGATCGTCCAGTTTCGCAAAAGCGTGACATTGCGTTCTTCTTTACGTTTGTGGTGGGTTTACCGCTTCATCAAGGTTGTGTTTGCTTCTTCGATGATTTTTCTAACTCTCTCTCTCTCTCTCTCTCTCTCTTTCTCATCCTCTCTGTCTCTCTGTGTTGGTTTCGCGAAGAACCTTTTATATATATATATATATATATGCAAGAATGAGATGCACTCATTTTTATCGTCGCTATTTCTTCTAATCAAAATGTGTGCAGGGAAGCGCAAATTTGTACTTGGAGCTAAATAATCGCCCGGCAAATAGTATTTCCTATAACGATGTTAGGTGTTAATTGAGCAGTAGTGTCCATCAGCAAGCTTTTCAATTTTAGGAAATAACGTAGTGGCTTTGATTAATTTTACGATGTTTTCGATTGTAAAATAAAATTGTGGGATGTAGAAGAAATGACGTGTTAATCATTATATACTCATATAATATATTCGTGTAATATATAAAATATTATGTTATACGTAAATATAACGTATAACAAAAATATTCGATCAGAGAGTGGCTTTCTGTGTGTCGCTATAGTGTATCGCTTGCTTTATTGTGTAAAGTCACAGTGTAATATATATGCAAAAAAATTATATATATTATATATATATATTATATATTAATACATACATATACATATATATGTATATCTGCTTCTAATGTACTGCTGCAAAAAAAAAAAACTGTTTTTATCGTATTCTCCATTAGCTTCGTATTTTATTATAGTATACTCTTTCGTGCAGTGAGAGCTTTCATTTTTGTTCCATTACAATTACTGTAACGCTTGCTAAATATTCAGCATTGACTGAATATTTGAATCGTGTTCTTGGGTCTATATCTATTATCTTTATGAAATCGAATATGTTTGTTGTTTTTCTGTCTGCAATGCTTCCTTCGACCAAGGTTTATGGTATCGCGCGGTTTAAAAAAGAAATCGAATAATTAAGATTGACAATGTCGAGATCTCAGGGGAAAATTGCACTCGAATTATTCCATACGTCTTAACAATTGTGTTCTATTGTTCATCACGATAGTAGCTCGTACTTTTTGATTGTAGAGGCTAGAATGTAGGCAAGTTATTTTTATTATTACCCTCCACTCTATCTTATGGACGATAAGGGTAGCATAATTATGTATATATACATATGAAATCTTAACAAAAGTTAAGACAATATTGCAACAGCGAATACGCGAAATCGATAAATCCTTTTCATTTCCTTTCCGACGAATAATCTTCGAGATATCGTGAGTTAAAGATCGGGCGAATAAATATAGTGTTATTAATAATTTGTTTCCAACACTCGAGATTTTAATTGAAGTTTAATAATACTTGGAAATGCATCTGAAAAGTATTCGTCGGAAAAAGAAATGATAGAGATTTTTCAACTCGCTTCAGATTACGCTATTATAATAGTGCTTTAACTTTGATTAAGTACTGTGTATATATTACAAAGTACTCGACGGTAGATTCGATAAAGACGGACGAAAAAATATTAAGAAAGGAAAGTGTTTTTACACGTAGACCAGGTAATTCGCGATGGATTAGCTCCGTTTGATCGGTTGACTCGTCGCTTTTCCAGGTGATAGCTGTGATATCAATACTCTTTATTGTGCTTTCGACGATCGCATTAACTCTCAACACCATTCCTAGTATGCAAGTGAATGATGAGAAGGGGACCGTTCAAGACAATCCGCAGCTCGCCTATGTGGAGGCCGTGTGCATCTCGTGGTTCACTCTCGAGTACGTGCTTAGGTTCAGTGCTTCACCGAACAGATGGAAATTCTTCAAGGGCGGTCTTAACGTGATCGATCTGCTGGCAATAATGCCGTACTACGTATCTCTGTTCCTGGTCGAGACCAACAAGAACGCTAACGACCAGTTCCAGGACGTGCGCAGGGTAGTGCAAATTTTTCGTATAATGCGGATCCTGAGGATTCTGAAGCTGGCTCGCCACTCGACCGGGTTACAGAGCCTTGGCTTCACCCTACGTAACTCGTACAAAGAGCTGGGCCTGCTGATGCTTTTCCTGGCAATGGGCGTCCTTATATTCTCGAGCCTTGCCTACTTCGCCGAGAAGGAGGAGCCCGGGACCAAATTCATAAGCATTCCAGAGACGTTCTGGTGGGCAGGCATCACAATGACCACCGTCGGATACGGCGACATCTACCCCACGACCCCGCTCGGCAAGGTGATCGGCAGTGTGTGTTGTATATGTGGTGTCCTGGTAATCGCGTTGCCCATTCCCATTATCGTCAACAACTTCGCCGAATTCTACAAAAACCAGATGAGACGGGAGAAAGCCATCAAAAGACGGGAGGCCCTTGAAAGGGCCAAGCGGGAGGGCAGCATCGTGTCCTTCCATCACATCAACCTGAGAGACGCCTTCGCCAAGAGCATGGACCTCATCGACGTTATCGTCGACACTGGTAAGCGACGGATCGATGTCCTCGCGGAGGATATATCTGCGATCTGCTTTATGCCGACTTATCGAACAAAACTCGACCTCGACCCGAGATTGGCATCGTCGCGGCTCTGCGAGACAACTTGCGGAGCGACACGCACACATCCTTCTTTTTCTTTTTAGTTTCTCTCATTTTTTTCTTTTTCTCCTCTGCCCTCAATCTTGTCTCAATCGCGATATATTATAGTTACCTTCATTAGTTTTTTGACATTTTTATCGAGTGGCTACGATTAAGTACACGTTTTAAAATAGCTTCAGGCGAAAGACATTATTGTTACCTTACGGACACAATTTATGCGATTCCGACGACCCTGACGCACGTTCGTGTAACATCCGGCACGGGAGCAAGGTAAAGGGCGCATGCAAACTCTAATAAAATTTACTGTAATTGGATTACACTATTATCGCGATTGCGCGAGTAATAGGCATCTCCTTTTTCTGTAGATTGCAATATGTTATTAACTCGATTCCGAGTAGCACACATATGCGCCATATCATTATCCTATGATTTTCCCTTATCATCTAAAAATCTACAATTTGTATTATTTTCATAGACTAACGCAAATATTCGGTTCGATAAATTCTTAAATCACTTTCTTTCGATCACCTTTATTTCTCTTCTAAATCTTTTTCTCTGCTTTTCCTACAAGTCCGTCAGTATGCAGAAATTTAAATTGGTGAACAAGTACATTATTAAAAAAAAAAAAGAATTTTCTTTTAATTAATATTCGTCCTCTCTTCTTTGACAACCTCATTTAACTGGAAGCTCGTTCAGCTTACTTTCCACCTATATCGAGGAATATAGACCTTGACTCTGTCTTTCAGGTCATAATATGTCCGGGGTGGATGGTAACAGTACAGAGGGAGAGTCCGCGTGCGGCCGCGGACCCGCTCAGACCGGGCCCGGCTGTTACCGCAATTACGAGCATTACGGTCTACGTCATCGGCGCAGCGCGTCCAACGCTTGCTTCCCGAACCTGCCCAACGACCTGCCCAATACGCCCGACAGCCCGAATCGTCGGCTGCTCGACTTCGCCCAGAGCGTAACAGGTGCCCAGAACGACGATTACTATCAAGACGAGGTACCGGCGCAGCACGCTAACCAGGCGAATATCACATCTAGCGTAAGTCCCACGTGGAATGTATGCACTTATACATATAGAACACTCGCGTGTATTATGTACGGCGCATACGGTCGGTTCGCTTTCGTGATGCCGATTGATTTGCGAACTCGAAAGCCAGTGTTAATTAGATTTCAACGAGAACGAGCTAAAGGAGCCAAGAAATAAAACTTTATTTCTTCAGGATAAAGTGAGAAATTTCTCTTGCGTGATTCTGTTCATTCTAATTATAATCTATGTTATATACCCTTTTTTTTAAATATAAATGCACATAATTTATAACAATGTTAAAATTAACATACATCGTGCTGATTATTTTATCTTGCGGATGATGAGAGATATAAAGCGAGATTTAAAAAAGAAATGTATGTTTTCTTATTTGATCACTGTTTTTAAAACTTCGAAATTTGGAATAATGAATGACTCTCGGCATCAGAAAACAGAAGCGAATCATCCCATACGCGCATACATAGGATTCAATGACGATTGCATTGGGTGCGCGATCGCGCCAGTAGTGCTGATATGAGTTTAGTCAAACGGAGTTGGAGCCGCTGGACGGCCGATTAAATCCTTCGCGCGCGATACGGCTGTCTTATCGCAAGTTATATTCTACATATCTTTAAAGATCTCACATATTGAGAAATATAATATCGTAGAAACAAATCTATTTAGAAAAATACGTGTGATATTATTACAATAACATTATTCAAATTAAATATCTTAAAATCTTTTTCTCTAAAATGTGCTTTATTATATAAATGGTATTATGAAATAATATTAAAATAATGACAAACATTTTCTTTATCTTATAATCGAGGCTATGATATTGAATCTTCTATTTTATCAATTTATTTCCACAACTATAGATACGCATCCATTGCAATCGCGATAATGAAAATCGGTTCACACTCGTCGAAATCGTGTAGCTACAGAGAACGTTTCTTTTATTTTTTATATTTTATACCGTGTCACTGTTATGCGATAATAAGACGACGAGATTGAACGCGTTTAATGTGGGCAACAGATTTTTTTACGTGTATACAAAGGAAGCACGTCGAGCACATCCCCCCGCTCCTCCCCCCAATGCGATCAGTTTTATGGTTAGACGCTAATTATTGTGATTCATTATCACTTTTCACCAATGCGAATATTCCATAGATAGTGATTATGCTATTTGATATTGATGAAAATTAATAAAAACGAAATAGTTTTGCATAAAACTTGATTTAAAATGGGGGATTTAAAAATGGTCAATTTTCATCAATTAAAGTTGATTGATACATTTTTTAATTTTTCATAATTTCTTACAACCAATATTTAACGCAAGAGAAAATAATTGATCTGTCAAAATATTTTGTTCAGCTCAAAATACATTATATATTTTAGAGAGAACAATTTCAATCAAAAGACAACTTAATGTATTTAAGTACGAAGACGATCATCGTATCTTCATTTCTCCATCTTTTTGCTCGCGTGATATAATAATCTTCGAATAATTTTCTTATTGATTATTTCAGAAAACCCATTTTCGCTACGGTAGGATCTTAAAAATATTTTATGAAAATGTATATAGAAGTACAATTTTTTTTTATTAAATAATCTTGCTAATTTCTAACATAGTTTCTTTAGAGAGAAATTTAGAGAGAAGTATTATATATATTATAATTTTTGTTAAGTGTATAAGACATTGATTGAATTTAGAGGAATTGAACATTTGGTGAACAATTGTAGATACTAATAATTGTCGACCACATATGATTAATAGCTTGTTCAATGTACCCTATAAGTAGTCTGTTTCCGCTAGTAGTTTTGAACAGCACATGAAAATTGTAAACCCTAAAATCTTTTGCTGTACTATAAAGTAGCGATTTTCAATTAATAAAGAAGGAAAGCAAATTCATGAAAGTACGATTAAAGGTTTGAATATATATGAATAAAGAAAAAAATTATATTAATCAAAATTAAAGAAATGCTCTAAAAGGAAAGATGTAGAAACGAGAGACTACATTTTAATGTAACATCATACAAGTAATATTAAAGTGGCATCTTTTTAAATTGAAATATTCTTTTGCTTTTTTATACATCACATTTATAAAATTTTAAAAAATTAAAATTTTGACAGTACAAGCTTTTCGGATTAATAAGAAAACAATTTATAATTTTTTCTTTAAATTGAACAGTTTTTAAAGAATCTCAGAGTTTATAATGAAAATGGTCGAAAGGTCGAAAAAGATTGGAAATCGCTGCTACGAGAGCCATACGCGCTCGACGTGTGACATTTTTTGTCTATTACACATACTTGTGTTTTTGCCCTAACATATATATATATATATATATATATATAATATAAAATATATATATATATATCGATCGAACCATGCCAATTGTGTGCGACTTCCTCTCTTTCGTAACCGGTGAAACCCTCGCCGGCAATATTGAATTCAGGAGTTTGATGCACGATTTCCGCGAGTCGAGTAAATATTTTATCGGGTTGGCGTTGGGCGGAGTTCTTTGTCATATGTATCGCTTATTATTTCATATCCTCGCACGGAAGTGCTCCTCGTGCCCTTGCCGGACAAATATTTACTCCGAAAGATGAAAATACAAGACGTATATGCTTGCGCATGGAGTGGGGCAGAACGTCTTTTTGTGGAGAATTTTATTTCTTTTTTTCCTATAACCTTTTTTTTAATATTATAAATATAATAACTTAATATATGATAATATGAAATCATATATCACGATATATACATCAAATCATTATATTGCTTCTCTTTTGATTTATTATTTTTGACTATATTTTTAATCTGTAACTTTTATCGTTACCAGAGATAAAAAAAGCAATGTGTGACTTTGTGTTTTAATGCAGTAGCATTATATATATAGAGGAATTGGTATATCGCGAATAGCGTCGAGAAGTGACGCTCTCTCCGCATAACATTTATTTGCATAATTGTTTCCATATCGCTCTATGCGATGCATATCGCTTAATTGAAAAGGTTACATGAGATAGAGACGCAACATAAAGAGATATGTACCTGTCCCCGACTTTATCGATCGCAAGTCCTACATTTATTCGAGCAATCCATTTATTTATAATTATACTCAAATATAAATTACTCGAGATTATTTTTCCTTTCTTTAATTCCATTAATGACAATTCGTAGTGTTTTCTAATTAATTTACGAGAGCAGTGAATTCAAGCATTTCACAATATCTCTGTTAGAACTTTTTTTTTACAATTTGAAATAATGTTTTCGTTTAAAACGAATAAAATTGTGTGTAATATCACCTCTAATGTTAGTTTTTTAAAAGAGATTTAAAAATTTCCATTATATGTAACAATATGTTGCGCATGTTTTAAAATAACTCAAATAATTCTAAAGCTATTTTTCTCTTTCATTTTTATTTCGAACAAAAGCATAGTATAGACATTTTATGTGGTATATATAATAATTCAACTCTATATATATTCAATTTATATAATAATTCACTATTTTGAATAATCAATAATATTACTTATATATTTATGTATTAATATTGTATGTCAACAGTGACAATAATGTTAATATGAATTCGATCGCGAATCTAATTATATCTTTAATGCCATACAGGCGACTAATTGATTCAATTTTTCTCAGTAACATTATATAATTAGGCATACACACGCCACGCCATTTAATTGAATTTAGTCTCGCCACGCGTAAATATTACACGCCATTAGTTATATCACTTACGTGAAGTATATCTATATGCATAACGTATGTATATTTACAATGCATTCACGCACGTGTACTACGTTATATAATATTCGAAAATTCGGGAGGATCTCTTTTGCATATGAATTGGACTTGCAATCTGACCACAGTCGGACGCAGATATATAAAATAAAAGGTTTGCGCGATGTTTCATTTTTTAAGCCAGATTTGGCTCGTAGACTCTTTATGAGTTTTCTTTCCGATTCATTTTTGCTCTCTATATTAATGATCCTTCTTGTAGTCGAACGATCTTCGCCCAATGTTTTTCAGTTCGCGAGCGAACCGACGCGGAGCCCGAAAGAGCGATATAATTTCCGAAAAATTTCCACGGATGCTGGAATAATGAAATTCAACCATTACTGCTCTAATTAAGTTTATAATTTGTTGAGAAAAAGCTCGCTCTTAAATTCACGCCAATTAAAGTGTTTACGGTAATGTAATAAGACTTGAGAACGAAAACTTTCTCATATAACGTATCGTCTGTTAATCACTTTAATTTGTGCACAGAATTCAGCAATTGCTCTTTTGATAAACAATTGTCGAGTTTCATACTAATTTGTTGGACAAAACCCTTTATATTCCAGCCTCCTTGGATGGTTTCTTTTTTTAACAACATTTACTCTTTTCGGTTGCGAACGATCGTGACATTTTTAGCGATTGTTTGAAACGATGCTGATGACGATCACAACGCGCACATTTGTTTGAATTCGTTTATTATTTCGTTAATAATTGATGTTGCTCTTGATGCAACGTGGAATAAAAATATACGGGATCTCGGTACAGTTACTATATTTAGTTAAACATTAAAAACAAAAATACGCATAGCAAAAATATGCACATTATACACATATAAATTTTGATAGAATACTTACATTACATACTTACAACGAATACGTATATTATTTTACTAATTAGTAGAAAATAACTCTAGCATTAATTGATTTATTTTTTGATTAATTTGAAACATTTTTTCCATTTTTCTCTCTTACAACTTTTTTTATTATTAATATTATTATTAAATACTAATAACTAAGTTTTAAATTAGAAGGTTTTGGCTTAATAGCAATAATGTGAATTTGATCTTAATTAAATTTATTATTTGTAATTATTAATTTATCTTTGGCTCATTTCAATTCGTTGCTATTTTTATAAATTGAGTTATGCATTGGATTCTGACTTGATTGTTTTTATTCGAAAATTTTATTTGCACTCCAGATCGAATCTTTCATACTGGAAAAAAAATAT